CAAACAAACCTGCTGAACTAAATGATTGTGAAGAATACCTGCCGTCTATTATCTAACGTATGAAATTAATTAATACAGTTTTGAAGTCGAGGTTAAGATAGGGATTTATGGTTGAGAAGATCTAGAATTTATGACCCATTTGAAGAAACGTTTGTTACAGCTTGAAATGTAAACGTTGTATACAACAAGAGATAAACTATGATTGGCCGTTGTAACCCGAACGAGTACGACGTGTACAGTGTAAAACTCCCGTGGAACTTTTCTACATTATAAAGAATTTCATTGCATATATAGCCGTATTTGTTGCATTTTCGTCCCGTTTGGTATTTCATAGTTTTTGTCGTTACTAAAAGGGTAAAATTTAATGCTTTTTCTTGTCATTAATCCCAAGTGAGCATTGCCAAGCAGTATTTCTGCTAGGTGGGCCAGCTCAGTTCCTATATTTTATGCAAGAAGTTTGAAAGGAAATAATAAAAAGTGCAAATCTGGCCATGGAATCAAGTTATTCTAGCTAGCTTGTTGTAATTTATATAATTATTACTGCCATCTCTCGCAGGGTGTAGTTTTCATGGGCACTCTTCCTTACATTTAGACATCTCAAAATGTCGTATAAGAAACGACAATTGTCATAAGAGTTTCTATTTCTTACTTTCTTCTCCGCCATATATCATAAGCGACTTCGTGCATGAATTGGCTACCTTACCTAGTCAACTTGAAGTTAAAATTTATGGCAACCTAATTGAAAGCGTGAGCAATTTCAAAAGTTCAAGTTTGGAGATTGATGAGAGGATGACATGGGATGCTCACATTCCATCTATTACCTCGAAGGTAGCCAAAGTTATTGGCGTTTTGAGGAGATTAAAATCGTGAGGTCCATATCATGTTCTCATCATGATATATAAATCATTAATCCAACCACATTTTCACAACTACAGTAGCGTCCGGGAAGGATCTCGCACAAAAACTTCAGCAATTATTTGGATCTGGATTGGCCCAAATTAGAAGAAAGAAGAAATCAACATCTTAAAGTTGTAATGTCTAAAGCAGTGCCTGAATATCTTTCGAATAAATTTACGTTTGTAAATTCGTAAATCCGTACGTCAGAAGGTAAAAAGACCAATATAGTTCTGAACTGTTGGGGAGATTTCCCAATGGGTAAATCTGGGATACAAAAACGGAAAGGCGAATGTTTAAAGTTTGGATACGAATAAAGAGTCGCGAGTACAAACAAGTACAAGCTGAGTCGGTGCGAAGAAACTTGAAAGAATGTTGTATTTGTTTCAATTCATACCTGAGACAATGGCCTAAGGTTGACGTGTTTAATTCTTATTAGTACCTTAGTACATAACCTACCTCTGCAATAGATTTACCACCTATAACCTCGATGCGATACTGTTTGTTTTGGATGAATTGTAATAGCTTCGTGTAGACGTAGTTTAATTGTCATAGGTCAATATTCTCAGTTGTAAAACTGCGGTAAATGAAACTGAAATTGTAGTTTCAATTAAGAATATATGTTATTTACTGTCCGGACTTTACACCACGTACAGGCCCTGATGGAATATCAGCGAGAGAGGATGTTGAGAGAGGATGTTGAGAGAGGATGCTGATGAACTGGTAGCCTGCGTGGCAGGCCCTCAATTTTATGGGGGGGGGGGGCTGATTTGCAGCGGGCAGAATGAACTGGCGCAATCTCTATACTGAACTTTTTAAAATGTCACTGGTAAAGTTCCTAGTGACTAGAAACCAACCGTCGTTCTGGTACCGAAAAAAGGTGACGTAATTACGAAATCAGCAAACTATTGGGCGTATATGGTTAGTTTATTTAATCACGATATTCATTTTGCCGCAGTTCGTGCTGATTAAGGTGGTAAGATTACTTAATTTTATGTATCTTAACCCACCCTGTCAACATTCTCTGTCGGAGGGAAGTTCGCACAGCATTGGAGTGTTTTTTTGCATGAATGTCGTGAGTCCAGAACGATCGAGAATCGAACCCAGGACTTCGAACGCTTTCTAAGACACTACGCAATTCGTTTTTGGAGTAATAAGTGCATATGTATCCATGTCCATTAGAATAAAAATATGTAACGTGTACTACTTAACTTATTTTAAAAACGTATAGCTTTACTGGCAATAAATCTATTGTCTTTTATGTGTGTTTTTTAAACTGCACCATTCTATTTTTGCAAAAGTTGATAATCGGTAAATCCGGATGATTGTCAGTGGCCCAATAACCCCAATTCTACTTAGAGGTGGATCAAGGCATCCCGTCTATCAAAAGACGGACTATTCAGATGAGCTTGCGAGAACGGCGCCGTTGGTTTGGTTGCGAAAATCCTACTAATAATAAAGCATCGGCTTCAGTCTGATAATTTGTCCAATAGGCAATACCGTATGTTTGTACACAGACCAGGCGTGCATGGACGGGCTGGATCATTTATGAAGAAAGACATAGTGAACTACGCAGCAAATTCGTCTGACAAAAATTTTTTTTCAAGTTCGTTTTCTTCTGAAATTCTACATAGTTCTAGTGTAATCGGGTCAACATATTATAGAATAGATCTACACTGCTTGAGAAATCTTTGGAATGAACTAGCATGCATGCATGCACTAGTAAATAGCATAGTCTTCTCCAGAAACGGAGTGAAAAGTATAATACTTGGTTGATGACCGATTCGTGTTGGATTTTGCTTATGAAATGATTGGCAGACAGCGAATAATTTTTTAAAGCAGATGGCTCAGATCAGATACTAGGCCACAGACTAGGTTATGTTTGTTATCCTATGCTATACTTTCGTTGTTATCCAATGCTATGCCAAAAGGTCATCAAACTCTCAAAAGTTGGAAATAGCAATTCTCGGTTGGAATGGCTATTTAAACCATGTTTCAGACCCTGGACAAACTATATGCTGATACGAAAATATTCTTCAATGTTTTCCCGTTGCACACATGCATATGGAAATATTGTTACTTATTGCTGTTGTTGCGAAAGCAAGAATGTCTCTCAACATATTCACCAGTTGACACTGTCTGGTTTTTTTTTTAATTTGGTTGTGAAAACAATGTCCGCAATAGCCTATAGTTTGCCAGTTGCTTCAGTATCAATTGCACAAACACTGAACCGCAAAATTGACACAACAACGGGTTATATACCACAACATGGATTCTACATCTAAGCTTTTTAAAATTAAGTGTATTTAACTTACGGTTAAACAGAATTCAACTGAAACCAAAAGTGGTATGTCGTCGTTTAACCAAGATTGATGAAATCGGAATTGTCAAATCCACAAATAAAATTATTTTCACATCTTCAACACGATTTTTATTTACTACTATCTCAGTGTTAACAAAACCGCAAATAATAAATTATTCAGCAGTTTCAAGTTTTGCATGAATGTTTATTAATAAGCGTCATTGTTTAGTCTCTTGAACTTTATATGCAAGTAGAAGTTATTTAGCTATACTGTAGCGATCTCAGGTCGGCGAAACTGTGCCCGAGGTCTGGAAAATGACCCAAGCCCGGCATTTGAAAATAATTTTATTAAAATTCTGGGGCTGCAAATTTGAATTTGAGGTTATATATATATATATATATATAGTGAAATGTTGCTGATAACAAGATACAAGTGTTGTATATAGAAAAGGTTTCAATGTGCAACCAAAAGAGACATTTATAACGTAAAATAAAATAAAAGCCACTCAAATTTTGCACAAACGTTTTCGCTTTAATGTTAGCTCCTCAGGTGCATATTTACAATGATATATATATATATATATATATATATATATATATATATATATATATATATATATATATATATATATATATATATATATATATATATATATATATATATATATTATTAATTATTAATTATTCTTTGGATATTTGGGACTTTTTTCGACATGTAGGCCTTACTGCCCCCCTGGCGAAAAAATCCTGTGTACGGCCCACGAAGCAGACTATGCACCTAAGCACTACAGCGATCAAAGTGTGGACATTGGATAGCCTGCGTAGGCTTTTATTGCGGGCGGGAGAAAAGAGGGCGTCGTCGTTATTTGTTTATTTATTAAACTTTGCCAAAAACACGTAACAGAACAACAAATAGACATCTAGACAATAAACATGGACAAGAACGGCAGGCACACCACAACAGTGTAAACCAATTACTGTGGGCCCTTATAGTTATACAAAAATACACATATACAGTACAGTACAGTACATATAACATACAGTACATGGACAGGAGACTAAAAACAACAAGTTAGTTTAGAACGTAAGTATAAACGACTAGTGCATGTTACACTTCGGACATATAGTCTTCCATGTCCTCGGATCTTCTTCTTTGAAGCATTCTCTCAGGGATGTCAGGTAGTAACTTTGTAAATCAGTTTTGGGGCCGATTACATGGAGCATTTTCAACCCCGGGGTTGAACTCAGCCCTGTTTACTAGGTTGAAATTTCAGCCCTGTCTGTAATACAAAACTTTATCAAAGTCAAACGCGCGATTACATGACAAAATTTTCAACCCAGGGCTGAGTTCAACCCCGGGGTTGACATTTCAACCCTGCTTCAGCTAGCCGGGTTGAAATTTCAACCCCGGGGTTGAACTCAGCCCTGGGTTGAAAATTTTGTCATGTAATCGTTTCAACCCCAGGGCTGAAATTACCATGAGTTATCGAGAGCATGCGTGGTAGTGACTATTTATTACAAGAAAAACAAAACGAATGCTTTTTTACTTCCGGGAATCGATGCCGAGAATGTATAGTATAGCGTTTCAACCCCGGGGTTGTCCATGTAATCGCAAAAATTTCAACCCGGTTAACAGGGCTGAGTTCAACCAAGTTAAGAAGATCTTAGTGTAGTTGAGAGAGTTCCAGGTTCTAGTTGCACGAATAAAGAAGGAGCGTTGGTTGGTTGGTAAGTTTTGCATTAGGCCCAGTGATTGGGCCGGACGGAAGGAAATTTGGTTGCCACTGCATGGAGGTTTGAGACATGACTTCAGGGAGGGCGTCATGGGACACGTCAACCAAGGGACACATCAAGCTCGGTAACTACAGGTAATGGGACACGTAAAGCTCGGTAACTACAGGTAATGCCGATAAAATTTTTAAAAAATGAACTCGAAGATACCTTCCTCCCCTCGGGCACATTTTCCCCAGCTTGACCTCCGATCCGTAATAGCTATAAAACTTCTACTTTAATTGTATACAGCTGTTTATATGTATACATACGGTTCGAGAGACTATATATAACGACGCTTATTAATAAACATTCATGCAAAACGTGAAACTGCTGAATAATTTATTATTTGCGGCTTTGCTAACAGTGAAATAGTAGTAAATAAAAATCTTGTTGAAGATGTGAAAAGAATTTTATTTGTGGATTTGACGATTCCGATTTCATCAATCTTGGTTAAACGACGACATACCACTTTTGGTGTCAGTTGAATTCTGCAACTGTAAGTTAAATAAAGGAACTTATGACTTAATTTTGAATAGCTGAGATGTTGTTGTGCCAATTTTGCGGTTCGGAGTGTTTGTGCAATTGATACTGAAGCAACTGGCAAATTATAGGTTATTGCAGACATTGTTTTCACAATCAAATTATAAAAAAAACAGACAGTGTCAACTGGTGAATATGTTTATAGAGACATTCTTGCTTCCGCAACAACAGCAAAAAGTAACAATATTTCCATATGTGTGCAACGGGAAAACATTGATTAGTTGAAGAATGTTTTCGCATCAGCATATAGTTTGTCCAGGGCCTGAAACATGGTTTAATAGCCATTCCATGCAACAGAGAATTGCTATTTCCAACTTTTAAGGGTTTGATGACCTAAAGCTTTTGGCATAGCATTGGATAACAACGAAAGCATATACCATTGGAAAACAAACATAACCTAGGGGTCTGTTCATATGATCCCACTCATCGAGAGACGTCTTGCCTACCGAGACGAATATCTCCGTGCGTTCATATGGAGTATTTCGTCCCGCTTGCCGAGATTACAATTCTATAATTAGCGTATGCAAAACTTCTACATTTCAGTCAAGCAACACAAATACTTAGCGATTTTAGTGTTTTTCTTCGTTTATTTACAAGAAAAATTATTGCTTTAGTTTAGGTGCATATTTAATACTTGTTTACAAAACAAACATAAAACCAAGTAAAAAGTGTTAAATTAAACGGCAAGACTTGTTTGACTTCATCCCGGTAAGCGGGTTGGCGTGTTCATATGGAAAAATTTTCATCCCGCCTACCTATGATCTCGGCAAATTCAAACGAGATCTCGGCAAGCGGGCCAGCTCGCGCGCTTTCTCAGTCATATGAACACAATGCAAAATTTTATAGGAAAATAGCTAGAAGCGAGACGTCCCGGTAAGCGGTATCATATGAACAGGCCCCTAGTCTGTGGCCTAGTATCCGATCTGAGCCATCTGCTGTTAAAAAATGATTCGCTATCGCGATTCCATAACTCATAAGGAAATTCCAACACGAATCGATCAAGTGTAATGGGGTCAACATACCATAGAATAGATCTACACTGCTTAAGAAATATTTGCAATGAACTAGCATACACAAGTAAATAACCTAGTCTTCTCCAGAAACGGAATGAAAAGTGTAATCCTAATAAGTCGAGTATTTGCATGCATAAATGCACGCTACTTGTGACAAAGGGGTTGGTTATACACATTAGAATCTCAGAAGAAAAACGAACGTGAACAGTGCCTTTTTTAACTATATATCTGGGGGGGGGGCAATTGCCCCCAGGAAAAGAATCCCCCCCCCAGTAAAGCCATTTCTGCCCCCGAAGTGCGAAGCAGAATTGCTCATGATTGCTGTCAGAATTGCAGTTGCTTTACTTGATAATGAGATTATGCCCTTCCATAGCCTCCTCCACAGCCATCTTGTGTGTAATTCATATTGTTCTTCACCGAGTATTTCATAATAGCGATAGATTTCATGCAAACAATCCGATAAAATGCTAGCCTTTCCAAGCCTTGCGACTATTTCCTAGCACTCTCCTCCGCAGAAGCGTTGTGTTTTGTTTTGGGAGGTTTTATTGCAAAATTGTTTTCTTAAAAATATCAAGTTATATTAAGATCCTTCCCCCAATCGCCACAAAAACCATTCTCTCAGAAAGTACACGTTACATGCTCGAAGCTGAAACTGATTAAGTTTGTCTCGACTGAGGAAAAAGACGATATACTGGAGGAACTTGATTTGTGAAATATCGTTAAAGCAGTTGTAGATATGGTTCCAAGAAGAATAGATTTAGTTTAGATTTTCAACTGTTAAATACATGTATGCATCATCATAGCATGAATATTTCTTCTCAGACTTATTCTGTATCGTATGAAAAAGCAACGCAATTTTGAGAATGCGGAAATGGTGTCTCATAGAACCTAAAATGATTTAAATGCAACATTTCTGATCAAAGTCACATTGGGATCCCCCCCCAGCATCACAGAGAGGAAATAAGGTGACACTGACCCCTCCTCCTATTTTTCAAGGTGACTTTCCAATTTATTTAATTCCGAGTAGAAATGTCTGGAAAAATTCATGTCTTCGATGTACTTTATAATCTTCGGAATTCTGTTAGATTTCACCCCCAAAATGCATGAAATCGCAATTCAGGGATCCTAGATTTCAAAATTAAGGTTTGGCTACGCCACTGGTTATAGCTTTACGATTATAGCTACAAAGAGTTGAAGTTATTGTTTAAAGTAAAATATAGCTGAAGTTAATAAATTAAAGTTTTACAAAATCTCTCTTCAGACTCGCACGTTCGCCAAACCTCGACGGCTCATATTTTTCGTTCTGCCTTTTTTCCTGTTTTGCCCCCCCCCCCCTCTCCCCCCAGTGAAAATTCCTTAAAAAAGGCACTGAACGTGAACAATAATCAATATTTTTGTCAGACATAGGGCATTAGACAAATTATTAGAAAGAGCAGTTCTAGATGCTTTGCCTTTGTTATTAGTATAGGATTTTCGCAACCAAACCAACACAGGATAATCGCTCGCTGTTCTGGCGAGCTCATTTGAAAAGTCAGACTTTTGATCACTGACGATGATCCAGATTTAACGATTATCAATCTTTTCAAAAATAGAATGGCGCAGTTTAAAAAAACATAAAAGCAATACTATATAGACTTATTGCCGGTAAAACTACGTTTTTGAAATAAGACAAGTTAGCAGTACACGCTATATATTTTTATTCTAATAGAAATAAATACACATGCACTTGTTACTCCCAAGAACGAAGTATAAAGCCGTTGCAACGGTGAAATTGAGTGGCGAAGTGGTCTTACATCAAACTGCATGACGTTACCTCATTTGATCAATTTCCTAAAGTCGATTATTTTGGATTTATTTTATTATTTTGTTCAGGGTTAGAGTAGGGTTTGGGTTAGTTACATAGCCATTTAACACCTCTTCCATCTTCCGAAAATAACGTCACGTCAATTTGGCAGATGGAAACAAGTGCTCACTTATTAGAAAGCGTTATTCACATCTGAAGTCCTGGGTTCGATTCTCGAACTTTTCCGGACTCATGACATTCCTACAAAAAGAATCACCCAAGGCTGTACGAAAAGTCGTGGGTTTGCTCCGTTTCCTCCCAATCGTCCGACAGGGAATATTGACAGGGTGGGTTATGATACATAAAATTAAGTAATCTCACCACCGCATCATTAATCAGCATGAACTGCAGCAAAATGTATAGCGTGATTAAATAAACCATGCAACCATTCACGCTGATTTCGTAATTAGGTCACCTTTGTTCGGTACCAGAACGACGGTTGGTTTCCAGTCACTAGGAACTTTACCCGTGACAGGCCAGTGACATTTTAAAAAGTTCAGTTATAGATTGCGCCAGTTCATCAGCATGCACTCTCGCTGATATTCCATCATGGCCATCAGGATCAGTACTTCCTTTAGGTGGTGTAAAGTCCGCACAGTAAATAACATATTCTTAACTGAAACTACAGTTTCAGTTCCACCTACAGTATTACAACTGAGACAATGACCTCTTGCAATTCAACTACGTCCACACGAAGCTATTACAATAGCTTCTAAACAAATAGTGTTGGATCGAGGTTATAGGTGGTAAATCTATTGCAGAGGTAGATTATGTACCAAGATACTATGTCGAAGCACAGCCACAGGTGCAAAATAAGAATTAAATACGTCAACCTTTGTTGCGAAGTGGTTGAATTGCCATAGGTCATTGTCTCAGGTAAGGTGGAAACAAATACTAAATTCTTTCAAGTTTCCTCGCACCAACTCAGCTTGTACTTGTTTGTACTCGCGTTTCTTTTTTCGTATCCAAGCTTTAATTAAGCATTCGCCTTTCGTATCCCGGATTTACCCATCGGCGAAATCTCGCCCACAGTTCCGAACTATATTGGTGTTTTGCCTTCCAACCTTTACGGAATTAAGGATTTACGAATTTCCAGACGTAAATTTATTCGACAGATATTCAGGCACCATTAAAATTTTGTTCACTGTTTTAAACAATCATTAAGATGTTGATTTCTTCTTTCTTCCAATTTGGATCAATCTAGGTCAGACGATATTTCGCGTGATCGAATGTTATAATCTGATCCACTTATAAATACGAGCGGCTCTATTTTGTAATTGCTAAAGTTTTTGTGCGAGACCCTTCCCAGACACTGCTGCATGCAGTAGTCAAAATGTGGTTGAATTAATGATTTATATATATCATGATGAGAACATGATGTGGGACTAACGATTTTAACCTCAAAACGCCAATAACTTTGGCTACCTTTGAATAGATGCAATGCGAGCATTGGGTGTCATATTTTCAATGGAGAAAGTGAGAAACTGACAGAATAGTTTAAAAAAATACGGCATTATGTAATCTCAAGACGCCTCTGATTGGAGGATTGAAGATTGTAAAGGAAAAAAGGAAACTAGTCTGAGTCCAATATAAATGAGTCATCCGGCAGCAAAGGAAATGTTTAAAGGCATATTCTAATATACCGTACTGCTTCTAATCCTTCGTCGACTTGAAATGAAAAAACGGCGATGGCCACACCCAAACCAAAAAGTGATGAAACAACTTAGAGAAGTTTCGAACACGCACGAAAAACAGTTGAATGTTCACATAGTAATGTACAACAAAACAAATAAGAGAATGCGAAAAGATAAAATTGTCGTGAACACTTTTGATTCGCGTATAAACGCAATTTAATTATTTAATATAAGTTTGGAAACAATGCGGAACAGCGCAAATTGAAAGTTCATAGTAATGACCGCTGACCTGAATTATGCAGTGAAATATGAATATTCAAAAGCTGTATTGACGCGTCAATGAACCAGAATCACAGCAAGGGTATGAGTGGATTAGAGTCCTTCGTATGAGGTTCTAAAAACCTGCTTTGATACAATTACACGTTCTTAACTGTTCAACTACTGTCCCAAAGGATCAAGGAATTTTACAGTCACTTAACCAAGTCGTCTAACCACAGTAAGTAAAATACGTTCTCTTACTTCTGTTTACGTTTGGTAAACGAAGCCCCACGGGGCTAATATGATTAAAGTAAAAGTGAATTTTCCTCCGCTCTGAGCGATCACAAGATTCTTCTCTACTTTCTGATGTATTCTGTAAGAACCTAATATAAACATGGTCTTCAAATGGTCAGTTCTGAACGTTTTTGAGTCGATTGAAACATATGTAAGGTAATTTGATTATGTAATCAAATTTGCTTGCCTCTTCACAGGAATTTGGGGAATTAATAATTTTACCACCCAAAAAATAGGCACGCAGTGCGTACGTTGCTAGTCCTTCTATTCTTGCGTTTTATAAGATGGTCGTAATTCAGCATGTTAAGATGGTTGTTGTAATTCTGCATAGTATATATTTTCTTCTGTAAACTACTTCCTTTTCAAATGTTGCTCAGTCTGGGCATGGCAGTCTAATAAAAAGAAGAAAAAAATAGAAATTATACATTGGTGAAAGGGTTGGAATACAAAATTAGGCAATCATGTGAATATAAAAAAGGCACAACCTTGATAGGTTTTGCTTAAGCCTATATGGAAACTGAAACAGAAGCATAATGCTAGCTTAGAAAGCATGTATGGCAGCATTTTTTTAATTATGGCAGTCACCTAGATGCACAAGAAATTGAAGTTATAGTTATACAGCAGAAAAAGTCTAACAGCACAGGGCAAAAAACTGAAACATTATAACAAATAATTGCACCAACTATTGATGATTGATGGTTTCTTAGTCCATAAATTTATCATTTCAGTGCATTTATGTACCCAGATTACATTATTCAGTCTAATAAATCTTACTGGCCAAGGGGGACAGGAGGAATAGGGATGGGTTAACATATTTAAAATAAAATTATATATATTTAAATAACAATCTCATCTTTTAACAAACACTATAAGATATTTTAATTCTCAAATAAGGACATACCATAAGTTTCTTGATTTTTGAATAAAAAGTCAAGTTTATAATTACATGGAATTTATATATTGGCAATTAGATACATGTATATAATTTGATGCTTTCATCACCAAACACAAAATCTATATTATAGCACATAATTTGATGATGCCATCTCATCACTGCTGATGGTTTCAAAATCTGTTCCATATAGTCATCAATTCCAACAATACAAGACAAATAAAATATATTTGCCAGGTCAATGCCTAATTATATAACCTATGCACAGGATTTTAAAGCAGTTTTTGGTAGAAACATGCTGTTACTCAGGATTTTTAAAGCCCATGGGAAGTGGGGGTTAAAAGCCACGCCGCACACTCCATCAATGTTGACGTACAATTTTCTGAACTAGTTTTACCCATGTTTTCTGTTGCAAGTAAGAAAAAAAAGTTTTGTAAACTTGTTTATTTAGTTTTCATAGCCCAAAAACATGATCGAGCCACATACAAAAAACTAAATGTTGTAACCTTGAGATAACCACCTAAACAATGTAGAATTGTCAGTACAGACTACGTTGAGCATGAACATATTGATTAAAATCTAGGGGTGCACCGGAATTCCGGCCGGATTTAACAAATTTTTCGGCATCCAGCCGGATTTGGAGAAAATCCGGCCGGATTTAAATTCTGTTTTCACCTTAAAAATTCACTAGGAATGGGATAAACCATCAATTTGGCAGCTTTAAAGTTTAAAAAACACTTCTATTATTATAAAATATTAAGTTATTAACAAAAATATATTAAAAAAAGGTTTAAACACAATAAAAAAAACTAAACTGACACTACCTAAAAATAGTAAAAAACATAAACCGCCATTTTGAATACTGAATTATCACAATTTATCCCCAATTGTCCCCATTACTGGTTCATCTCAAATCCGGCCGGAATTTTTGTCCAATTCCGGTAAATCCGGTTCCGACCGGATTTGAAAATTCCAAATCCAGTGCACCCCCATTAAAATCTGTAATCCATATAATACTCCTGCCCTTGCTTAGATCTGAAATGTGTTGTGGAGCACATGGCCTTGAGCTTGTGTTTTCTCACTGTTGTGATCTTTCATTATTGTGTGACCTTGACCAGATGACCATAAATTTCTGTTGTGCAATTTTAACCTAATGTCATAAGTCAAGAGTACATAATTAAGTGAGCTCTGCATCAATTTTTCAATTAAGACTTTTCACAATTTTATACTTCTGTGAATGATTTCCTGAACAACCGCCACGGAGATATTACCAATAGACAACCACCTGGGAAATCACGAAACTCAGTTGGGGGGGGGGGGGGACGCAACTATATAACATTATATTATTACACAATACAGTGTATAATTTATATGAAAGTACTTATTTTACACAATCGGAAATACAGATAATTCTACTGACTCTACTTGTCTAGTGATAAAGCAAAACTTTCGCCAATACCGATCATTGGTCAATTACTAATCATCTTAAATAACTATAGAATGGTGTGAAAAGGCCTGTACATATCACTATATGAAACATTACGTTTTTAGGCAGACTACATATTTTTAATTTCAATTAAATATATTAGCTTAACAGGCAATTGCTATTAAATAAATATGGAAGTTAAATGGGTCATTCTACAGTTCAACCTACCCATATTAAGGCATCTGTTAGCACTTTAATATTTGGCAACGTCCAGGCACAACAAGCCAGCCATTGATTTAATTTGTCCACCCGAAATTTCGCCCGGAAAACGCGACAAACATCATTTAATTACTTTCCTCATCTCCCTAACAAATGTGATATTCTTTCCTCGCAGTTTAAGCTTCAAAAACACATGTAAATCTACTAAATCCAACTTTTAATCTGAAAATATCAAACCATTTCCAATTTTCAAGTTTTCTTTGAAGATTGCCAGCCTGAGCCCACTATCAGCAGAACAGCGCTATCCCAAATAAATATTAAGGGCGCTCACTTGCGCTCAGCGTTTTGATCCTTTGGAAAACATATATGGGGTCCAAAAAAACGGTGGAAGTTCTACTGACTATTTCAAAATTACAAATAGTATGCATTTGGTTTTTAAAGTTTACCAAGTCTTCAGTAATGCCACTGATGTTATATTGAAGGAGAATTAGTCTTTCTCATAAAGGCCAAATTGGCAAATTTGCCATTTTGGGGGGTACTTTTTTTTTAAACGACGCGAAAAATCTATAATTATAAAGCGATGTGAAAACATTTTTTCAAACATTTTTCAACTGTAAATTAACTTAAAATTATCATACTTACAATCATAGTTATACAAATCCCTTATTCACTGGGTACAATCTCAGATTTGTAAAAGGCAATACCCCGAAATGGCGGCGTAAGAACTTCTAATTGTTCTTTTGTTAAATTCTGTCAATTCTCTACGTGAACTGCAAGTTTCGGTGATCATATCTGTGCGCCTGGTTCAGTGTATCGGTTAGCATTTTAATCTTGGCTTCACTATAATTGAATGCCTAATCTAGATCGAACTGGAAGCGGAATAATGAATAGTAACAATACTATAATTTTTAATCAGTGTGGAAATTACCTAAAAATTGCATGAGAAATTTGAAGATTAAGAACAAGCGTATAAATAGAACAAATATTTACAGGATTAAAAATAGTCAATATTCTCTATATATCAAATGTGTTTCAAAAAGGTTTAACAAGGTTATCAATGATTGTAAGTTCAGGTTTAAAACTGAGAGTTTTGTTCTGAAGGTTTCAAGATTCGGGAAATTCCTGACGTCATTACCGAATGCATTCCATTATTTTGCGGCATGATTTTGGCATGATAAGCAAAGCGTTTGCTTCCCCATTAATTTTCTATTAAAATATATTTCGGCTGGTTGTTACTCACTTACTTGCGATAGAAAATCAATCAAGATTGACTAAGCATGGCCGCTTTCCCAATCTGCCTTATGAACACAGCAGTAAAAAATTAGCTCAGTCAGCTTAGGCTATACGTACAGTATTACGCCTATACGTACGCCTATACGTACGCCTACGAGACACTGCCTGTGATTCAAGTTATATGTTTCTTAATTCATTTTCCGCTCAACAGAAAAGATTGTTTAATATCCCAACTCAATTTCTATGAATGCTTTAATTGAGCCGCGCTGACAAAGAAATTTTGTCAGGGTCTTTTTCCAATATATATAACTAGGCACCAAAGCCCTCCAGCCCCCTTGGTTCCCTCACTCAACCATTTTGCCTCCCCTCCAGTCAAGTCAATGTCCGCAGGGGTGTAGGAAGCAGGGGGGCCTGCGGGCCCCCAACCCAATAATTTAAAGGGGGCTGAGCGTAGCCCCACCCAAATCGACATTGGATTTCAACAAGGCGCCCCAGAGGCACCCCCCACACACTATACCGATGGGTTGATCTCACTGCTTATAGCTCCATGCGGCAATCATATATTATACAGACCTGGGAGCTTGTATTTCTTCTCGATCAAGTACGATCTGGACTGGAGAAGCGGAGAAGCCATGAGAATCCAATTTTCAAAATATAAACAATACATAAAGTGGAATTTAGCCCGGATATAAAAGCCGATTAATTAAAGTTTATTTTGTATGTTTATTTTATTAAGATTTATCAAGAATGAATAATCGTGCCGGGAGGATTCAGAATGACACGAAAATGGTGTTACTTGTCCACAAGTCAGATACGGACAAACAAAAGCTTGTCAATTATTTTCGACGCGCTCTTACAAGTAAAGCTAGTGGTAGTTTAAAAGTCGAAGACGTGAATGTTGCCAATGGAAACGATAATGTGAAAGATTCCTCTTGGCTGGATGAAGTGAACAACATTGTTTTACTATGCCTGACGTCCGAAACTATTCCGTCGTTGGAACAAATAATTAGAGAAAAAAGGTACGTGCAAGATGGCCGCCTGAATAGGAAAGTATTTTCGGTTTCCTTTGGAGCAAACCTAAACGCTCAATGGCCTCCAGGAGGAATCCAAAACGAAAATAATCGAGACTTCGCCTTCAATTTTGAAAATGTGGAAAACCTTACACCAACCGACTTCAAAACATCGGACAGAATGACAGTGTTAATTGCAGCAATGAGAGGCGCATGAATTGACCATGATGAACATGACAATTTTTCACTATGTTAATTCACCGGTAGTATCGTTAGAACGGTAGATGAATTTCAAACTCTTTAGTCACAAACGAACTGCACAAAACAGTCTTTTGCTTAGGCGGGTTGCTCAATTGTCATTTAACGGAGGAGTGCCACACCACTAGTATTGCGAGCTCAAATTCCTGTTAGCGGCCATTTTATGGGCCGAGTAAGAGATCCGGAAAAATTTTTTATAATCCGTCTTATATTTAAACAATCCTTTGAGAATCCTTGTTTCTTTTATCAAACAAGTAATTTTTTATTGTTATTTGTAGATTTGATAAAAACGATAAAAATGCCCGCGATATTATATGGTGTGACACTAATCCTTTAATTAAACAATTCAGTTAATTAAGCTATTTAATGAGGGCCAATACATGTATCTTGATATCCGCTATATATCTAGATATAGCTAATTCAAAAAAAGGTTGTCCTTCAAAAATGTTAAACCTTAAATCTTCGGAGTGCGCAAGGTATGATGGGTGAAATTTATTTAGAGTCCTAAACTCGGAAAGTTTGCCTTGCAACCATATAGTTATAGGAGATCTAGATTGCTAACGCATAACTAGCGCAGGCGGGGCCTACATGATAAATCCAAGATGGCGGTACAACAGGGCAAAAAGACTATAAATTCTATTACGAAAATCAGGATTTTTGCATTTTTTGCCGTTGCATTGTTTTGAAACTTATTCGGTCAAATTTTATGGTAAAGAGAAACTTACCGCGAAGATTTTGAGCACATATATGATTGAATTGGATAAAAACTCGCAAAATTATCCATCGATAAAAGTTCGTGTATAGTACTGATATAGTACAATATATGTAACTTGTACAGTTTTGCTTAAATTTTTGCTCACTATTTGCATAAAAAGCAAGTTATAACAGACCATAGATGATAGAACCTCATCGAGTGCTCTCATCAGTTTACTTCTCTAACAAGCAAGGAGGGGGGGGGAGGGGGGTACATAACAGTTCATTTTTTATAATTATGAAGACAGAGCAGATGATGATGAGAGATGCTAGTATAAAACACCATTCACAAGGCTAGATGTTAACATAGCACAGTATTTCTGGCAATAAAACGCTGCAACTGACCAACTGACCATTTCACACGAACTTTTATCGCCATCATACCTTGCGTGCTCAATATTTAAGATTTTTCTAAGGACAACCTTTTTTGAATTTTAGCTGTATATAGATGTCTAGATGACTAGATGTCCATGCATATCGCATATATTTTTGTGTTATTGGTTTATTTATTTGGTCAAATACACGTATAGTATTCAAATGGCGATGACGCCTACTATGGGATTTTATGTGATGCAAAATGTTTTAGGGGATTTAGGGCGCGCCGAATGTGCATGAAATAAAACCAAAATTGGCAGTTCTACATAAAAATCGGCCAAATGAGTAAAGGTCTAATAATAGAATAGGTCTTAATAATCTGGTCTTTCCATAGCCATACAGACGCGCACATTCAACAAATTAAATTGCTGCTGGGGCGGTTCGGATGATCTGGGGTCGACTTTCTTGTACTCTGCAAACAGTGGCAGTGGAACAGGTTTTATTTTGCAGAGGCTAATCAGTTCCATCTAAGTTTGGAACCATAGTTAAGATTTTCAGCCAATTAAGTGCAAATACGGCACGAAAAACAAGATTTAACCGTGACAAAGTAATATAATAGGATTGGTGAAAACTGGGGATCACCGGGAAAAAATTGCAAAATTGAAGCTTGGAAATGCTATTTCCTGCACTTTCCGGCACGGAGTTTAAGAATTTGGATGGAAAAAATGCTCTTGTCTACTCCAGGCATTTGTGGCTTGTGGATTAAACAACTCTCATAGCACAAATTCGGGGCCGAGTTTTGATACAGTCTCAAATAAAACTGGGACTGATTTTTGTGATTTTCGAATGCTGGGGGGTTACATCTCCAACCTTCCCGCCTAAGGTGCGCCCCCTGTAGCCATATTATTATTAACAAGACGCTCTGTTGAGCGTTTAGTCGCTGGGGTATTAAAATAAGGCACGTCTTGATTAGAATAACTTACGATATATCATCAACCTCGTACCCAGGGCTTCTGCGCTCGTTGCTCTCTCTTCATTCTCGTACCCAGAACCGTTCTTACGCGCGGTCAACAGAGTGCGACGAGGGGCTCTGGCCAAATCCAAACCGGAAACAAAAAAAAACATGGTATTAGAACAATATCCGGTATTAGAACAATATCCGGTATTAGAACAATAACCTTCGTTGTGGCCAATCAGATGCCAGTTTGATGTGGATTTGGCCAGAGCCCCTCGTCGCGCTCCGTAAGAAAGGCTCTGGGGACGAGAATGTTCTCTTCTGAGAGCAATCTCGAAACCAGAGCCTGCAAGCCTCCACAGAAGATATGAGAGCAATAAGTACAGAAACCCTGGGTACGGTGATTTCATTGGATTTATCTGGCTTAAGCCAACTTCGAGTACATTGGAAACCAGGATTCGGCAATTTTATTCAAATTTATTGCAACTCAACATTTTGACCCTTCAATTTTCTCAAAAATTGTAATACCCCCCCCCTATTATTATTATTATTATTATTATTATTTATTATTATAACGAATATTTACACAGGCTGGATATATACATTTCAGCACAAAAGTGCTGTTATCAATGTGAGTCTTGTTACACCTTAAGAATTAATTAAAAACTATTAAACTACTACCTATAGTTAGGAAGTTAGCCTACTACATATTATAACTACTACTTTATCATTTATTTATACTGATGGCCCCACCTTTGCCCCCCTCCCCCTCCCTCTTCCATAAATAAAGACTTGTCCCAAACTCCAGGAAAAATCTGTGCACTTCACAAAACATTTATAACAATTTATTGCGTTCGCCTCAGGCTGGGTAACCACAACAGAAATTGCCAAAATGTCCTTTCAAGGTAGCTTGCATGTCAGGGAAGAAAATGGCTGCCCCCAAGCCATTTACAAACAAACTCAATATCTTTTCCAGAGAAATATGCCAAATCCCCCATGATGGAAAACGTCAAAATCCTCACCCCCAGCTAGGCTAAAGATATCGGCAATAGCTCCGCCCCTTGGATTAGGAAAAGCTGCAAAGGCCCGGGGGTGAGGGGATGGGAACTGCTAGAATTAACTGACATTAGATTATCAAAGCTAATTTTAAAATATGACAATAACAGACAACTCTTCTGCCAATATCTTAAAAAGAAATATTCCAATAATTTTTCATTAATTAAACAGCCAGGAATTACATACCAAATAATAACAATGGTTAAAGACTGTGTTAATCAACAGCAAAGTCAGCAATTAACATGGTCAAAAGTAGTTAAAATACAATTACAAGTATGGAATATCATTACGTAAACAACAATTTGATATTACCTTAAAAAGAAAAGCTACTAATTCTGACCAATGGGAATTTTGTGTGTACTACGAATCATATGCATTTATTGTCTCCGTAGCAGGCTCTATTTTACCCTGTGAGCAAAGTCGTCTCATATTTCTTCTCGGCATGGCACAGAGAAGCGAGAGAGATTCTGCAAAACTTGTGTATATTCTTTGTGGAGCCGACAATCCAAAAACTTGGATAATTATGTGTAATTTCAGGTTTGATACTGGTTTAATAACTGGTTTTGATGCCGGGAACAACGAAACCAGAAACTACTTATTAAATCTTCTTCTGGGAAATAGGCGGTTGCTTAGCAACCTTCGCACACGCTTAAATTAATTTCTACCCAAGTTCTGCAGAGTCTCTCTCGCTTCTCCGTGCCGAGAAGAAATAGGAGAGGACTTTGCTCGCAGGGCAGCTTTATTTCAAGGATAGAGCCTGACACGCTGGATACTTTCAAAGTTAACCCCCCCCCCACTTTATTACTTTACTCTGCGTAACACTAGACAATTTTACTTGAGGACGCCATATTCAATATATTATTCTCACCAGGAAATTCCATTTTGTTTGCACCCCTTGCACTATTGTGATTCATTATGGCATCTTCAATTTGAAAGAGTCTATTACTCTGGCCCCAACATTTACCCATTAAAAACACAATATATTGATGAAATAACTGAAATGTTACAGGTTTACACGCCTGACACCTGGTCCTTGTATTTCTGTCTTGTTAGGCTACATCATGTTCTTTTGACCGCTTATCCGTATCAGGATAGCTTGCATCAAGGGCCGTAGAAAAAAGCATCCAAATAAACGGCAGTTTGCGAATATTATATAAATATTGTGAACTTTTGTCATCTATTTCAAGCTTGTAGCGATCCAAGTTACTCACATAAAATGACTTTCGCTTTATAAAGTCTGGTTCATCGGAAAACTTTAAAGTTTCATCGGAGAAATAAAAAAAATATGTACAAAATCGATGAAATTGTCGATACTAAATAACTAAATTCGCTCCGAAGAAAGCGGCCATCTTGAATCCAGCGACGAATAGTAATGACGTAATTTTTATTATTTATTAATGACGTAACGTTCATTTTGTGGCTAACGATCCAAGATCCGACACAAATCGAAGCCGAAACCTAGAGTCGCTGCGGGCTGTGCCCCAGCGACTAATTAACCCTTTCCTAATAAACCAGATACAATACTGAAACGCGGTGTCCTACAAATAAAACCACTGGTTTCCGCCTACAAGTAAAGTTTTTCTCTACTTCGCTTTCAAACCTTCAAAATAAATATTTTCGGCTTAAAATATTAATTATCAAAATAAAGGGAAAAGTAAGACCGAAAAAGAGAAAACCAACGGTACGAAAGTTATCAAAGATTACTGTAAACGTCGGCTGCATAACCATTTTTAATTTTGGTTTTTGGAAGCGTGTACATGTATTCTTAAGCCCCGTTTACACTACGCTCAATTTTTGGTACGGCACGGATAAAATTGGTACCCGTACCACTTTTTTGGTTCTTGGACAACCTATTTAGCTAAGCACCGCTTACACTACGCTCAATTTTTGGTACCGTACCACTTTTTGGTTCTTGGACTACCTAAATAGGTAGTCCAAGAACCAAAAAAATGGTACGGCACCAATTTTATCCGTGGCGTACCAAAAATTGAGCGTAGTGTAAACGGGGCTTTAGCTAGCAAACAATTGCAGCCAAAGTATAAAACAAATACAACAATACAACATGAAACGGTAACTCGTGATTTAGCTACCAAAAAAGAAAATACTTTAGATTTAAGGCACTGTAATCTGGCGCCAAAAAGTATCCGGATGTTGTTTGGTAATTGCTTGGGTAATCTGTGGTCAAAGTCGAAGGGCGACTTGGCGAGACGAATGAATATATATTAAATTCGGAATACAATTATGCAGTTTTGAATAGTATATTTCAATTACTGGCACACCCCAAAACATGTCTCAAGAAGGTAAATATACGTCGGTAGAAATGGATGAAAAGAAATCTGATGAGGGAAACAATGATTTGGAGCAGCCGTTTGATGAGGAATTTTGGTTGAAGGTGAGTGTTTGTAATAGTACACACAATCAACGTTTAGTCATTAAGATAGGTCATAGTGATCATTGGAATATTCTCGTTTAGGTTTAGTATCGTGGATCTACCTGTATGTAATTACTTCCACCTTATATTATATCGGCGTTCACACTGTTTATTGAGATTATTTTATTATATCTTTATTGAGATTGATTTTTGTTGAAATTTAAATTGCGACTGTTATGTAGCAGCTGATATTTATAGTTTTGACAATAAACTAGAGTGTTCTGAATAAATTATGTAAGCGTAGACTGCGAGCAGTCCCTCCCTGGAAGGAAAAGAGGGACTGCAGACAATCACATCAAGAAACGATATAGTTGGTTGGTATATATTGGTAGATATAAGTTAATTAATATTATCTAATTATACTAATCATATTAGTTACATGTGAGTCTTGTAGCATTTTTATTCATATACTGTCTGAAAGTGTTCAGTATGTTATTTGCAGGGCCATAGCGAAGAGGCTAACCCAGCGGGGTGTAGTATCGCATTTGCCGACAACGTGTTAGTCGCTAATTAATATTTCTTTTTCTGAAATTGTTGGCAAGCGGGGGGGAGGGAGAGGTAATTTCATTTTCGGCAATATTTTCCTACAGGTGTAGATCGGTGTATGTACCACAGAATATCACAGTACCACAGAATACCAGTTTTTTATTTCTCTTATAAAATTTGAAGGAAGCATGCTATATACTTTGTTTTTGTGAATATATATTAGTTTTAGTCTCATTAATGGACGAAAAATGGATATTTTCATAAAATTCTTAAAAATAATTGGGATAAACAACAAATAAAATTCCTTATTTTTGGTACTTTTTTCTGTTTAATGCCCATAAAATCAGAAAGTTTGAAAATAAGTTTGCAAACCAACATGATTTACGTTCATCAACAGTTTTTCTAAGCGATACAACATTTTTACTATTCAGGAATCTCACTGAGTAATCAAATTTTCTATAAAAGCCCAATTTTTCAAAATTATTGGTGAACCTAATATGCTGTGGTACATACCACCGGTATTCTGTAGTGATTTTAGTATTTACCTTCTGGCTTCCACTAAATTAAGTTAGCAATATCTGTACAGTGTTATCACACAATATGACACACCAAATCCTCATATAATTTGATAAACTGTTCCTTACTTATTGCCGCATTGGTATTCTGTGGTACATTCGGATTTTATCCACAAAATGTCTGATGTAAAAATTTATAGAATCTGCCAAATCTAACCCCAAGACCCCAAAGAAGAAAAAATAATGCAAAACTATACTAAAAAATATTTAGTAGGCTATGTTATATGCACTAATTGACAAAAGATATCATGGAACATGTAAATTTGTGTGGTGTTCTGTAAATTTATCAAAATGTTTGCTATAGCTATTACTTTTTAATTGCAGCTACTCAAAGATTCTTGCAAAAACAATTTGCAGATAAATCTGTTGTTTTGCTGACAAGGGGGGTGGTGGGTGTGCAACACCCTTCCTTGAATTTATAATGCCAAAATAATTATATTGGAGCTAAGGGGCAGTGGAAAAAGTGGGTGTATTTAATTTTTTTATGTGTTGTCTGCAGTCCCTCATTTCCTTCTAAGGAGGGACTGCTTGCAGTCTAATGTAAGCATAGCATGTGAATCCAGTTGAAATTACATCAAATGGATTTAGAAAAATGTTCACTTGCCAATGCATGTTGAATTGAATCTTAAATTGTATGTAGTTTGACTTTCTGACTTTACTATGGACATACAAGGTATGGGGTGGCTGGGTTGAGGACAGAGCTCTGTCCCCCAATTTCGAAACAAATGGTAAGGGGAAGTTTCCTCATCACAGATGATTTGTAAGGCAGCCATAAAGATTGTACTGCTGTATGTTATATCTAAGGGGTTAATTTTTATCACCCCTCCCCAAAGGACTTGCGTCCCAATTGACATCTAACTCCTATATTATGGAGTATATATGGAATTTGTCCACTCGTCCTGTCTCTTATAGGGTATCTTTATCCTCGACCTCATACTAGCTTTCACGTCTACTCTCACAGTTCTGTTGGGCTGCCGTTACTACCAGACTTACGCTGTTTCTTCTTCCAACATAACTGCCTAATTCTCTTCTTAACTCAATCACTTTAACTCATCCCTCCGTCCAGTCCATCATTTCTTTCTTCTACCAACCGTTAAATGACTCAAATCTAGTTTTGGTTTTTTTAAGAACGCTGGTCGACCAAGCCGACGATCAGGATCTCCATCCCGACTCTGTTTCTCCGTTTTTCTCGACAGCACTCATGTCAATCAAATCCTGTGCTTCGCGTACATCATTCTACTTTGAGGCGAAACGCCTCTGTGGCATGACTCCAGTTTCTAATTCCCCAGCCTTCATTTCCCAGCTCCAATTAGAAAATACAGACCATCTAGATCTATCACCACTTGATCTAGCAAATCTAATCAATAACACCTTCCTCGAGCCTATGAAAAACTTCTCTGCCCTCAGCGATACGACCACGGAAACCCCTTCACAGTCTGATCACTTTCCAACCAACGCATTAACTACACCAGAGTTAATAAATCATAAGCTTAATGTTCTTAATCGTTCCATAGCCTGCGTGCCCAAAAACTACACATTCTGAGTTCCGCCCACCGCATCGTCCCGCCCATCTTACAGTAATGTATTTATTTTAATTATTTGTCAAACTCACGTATTTACACCAGTGCAAATATACGGCTTTGACGTTTCATATCATCGGTTCATTCAATGCTATGAAGACAAAAATACCACGTTCGATTCAGTGTAACAATATGTCCTCATTCATAGCGATAGTTTTAGTCGATGTCAACATTATAGCGATTTATGAGCTTTGAAAGTCAAGCGACTAAGCGAGTTCGTGTATTATCAAATTACGCAATTGTCTGAACAAAAATATAGACAGCCATACCTTTCGCCGAACACAACTTCGGCCCCTTCAGACGTAACTTTGTAATAGGCTTGTTCCAATCGCTACCAAAAACACGACTTAGAGTGTCATTTACGAGCCTGTATCTTCAAATGGGCCATTCCATTTAATATGTGCACCCCCCCTATTGAGGAGTCCTTAAAAGTTTTACCCCCTTAGGAAATTGAACATCAAAGTGCCGACACATTCCCCCCCTTGGAAATTGGCCTATGTTGTTCGAAGATCAAAGGGACCGACTGATTTACCCCCTCGGAAATTACCAATATTAACCCCTCCCTCCCCATAGGATTTCCAGACCCCTCAATAGGGGGGTGCACATATTAAATGGAATGGCCCAATCTGCACTTTTATCACGGTATCACATCTTCAAGCAACAAATGTTGGATTGATATTCGTTGTTCATTCTTCAAGACGAAGCGATTTCCGATTCCAGATAAAGATTAAAGAATTCAACGCTTAATTCTCAATACATTCGTTATCTTTTGGTTAGTGTATGCCATCACTCGATATATCGGTACAATTACGAAAATAACAATAGTTTATATTATAAATACGGCAACAGTAACTTCTAAAATTAGCACTAATTATTCTAATTCTGTACTCCTGTCAATCAAAAATTCAAAATCAACATTCTGACCAATCAGATATCGCCTGCTACGCAGGCTACCAATCAGAATGCTCCGGCACCCAGCTGCTGGGGAGAACTCAGAATGTGTAGTTTTTGGGCAGGCGGTATTTCAAGCTTCCCATTCTCTCGTGCCCGCGAATACCGCCTGCTACGCAGGCTAATCGTTCCAAAGCACCTGACCCAGATGGGATTCCAAATTGGATCCTGAAAGAATTTGCAGAAGCTTTATCAAATCCTATCTCCATCATTATCAACTCTTCCTACTTGGAACAAAAATTGCCAAACGCTTGGAAACAAGCTAAAATTATACCCATCCCGAAAAATAAACCAATCCGTGATATAAACAAGAATCTTCGACCTATTTCATTAACTCTAGCATTATCAAAGTTAGCCGAAGACATAGTTGTTGAAAAATACGTCTCTCATGCAGTTTTGGAGATGGTCAATCAGGATCAATTTGGGGGTATTCCAGAATCATCAGCATCTTTCGCCCTCATCAGTATTATTCATACATGTGCTCAAGCGACCGACCGAACTGGTGCTTCCGTTCGTCTCCTCTTGTTTGATTACCGCAAAGCCTTTGACTTGATTGATCACAACATCCTGGTTCACAAAATCCGGAAGCTCTCAATTCCTCTACCTATTATTAATTGGATTGTCGACTTTCTTACATCTAGGGAACAACGAGTTAAACTCGCCAGGGATTGTTTCTCCGAATGGGGAAAAGTTCCTCCCGGAGTTCCCCAAGGGACAAAACTAGGCCCATGGCTCTTTATACTCATGATAAACGATCTGAATTTAACTGATTTCCAAATGTGGAAATATATTGACGATACTACTGCTGCTGAAGTAATATCAAAAGACAGTCACAGTACTATTCAAACAGGAGTAAACCAGTTGGAAGACTGGACTGTGCAGAATAAACTCCAACTTCAAATTCCAAAATGTAAAGAACTACTGTTTCAGTAAACGACAGTTAGAAACCCTTTTCCCAATGTTGTCCTAAGTTCTGGAATTCTCGAACTAGTTGATCATGCTAAAGTTTTGGGACTGACAATCAGTAACGACTTGAAATGGTCCAAACACGTTGCCAAAATGATCAAGAAGGTCAACAAACGAAAATACTTCATTATACAGCTTAAACGCGCAAAAGTGCCCGCCAAAGATATAATTAACTTTTACTGCACATGTGTAAGGCCTGTACTCGAGTACAGCTGCGAAGTTTTCCATGTTGCCCTGCCTACCTATCTTAGTGACGCCATTGAGCAAGTCCAAAGAAGAGTCACCTCAATAATTTTCCCAGGGTTGCCGTATCCCGAGCGTTTGCAAAAATGCAACCTTATTCCCTTCAGTGATCGGCGATACAAGGCCTGCTCAAAACTATTCAATCAACTCATCAACAATCCACATCAGTTTTTAAGGCTTATTTTAATGGCGGCGGATGGTTTAATTATGGCCTCAACTAAACTTGAAAATTTTAGTCCTGAAACTATTGATATGAACTCCATAAAGTTGTTAAACAATCAAGGTCATCTAGTTTATGATGGGACCCGTCTCAAATGGACAAACGACCTCTGTTCGTTAAGGACTTTTGCCGAAAATGTTGTCGGATTAACGGGTAAATGGACGTCGCCTGGCGGTAAAGCCAAACAGTTTATAAACTTAAGCTCTGATTTTATTATGACTTGGTACCCGGGCAAACAAAACTCGTTGACTTTCAATGGAAAGAAAGGCAAATCTTTCAAGGAATTTCTAGTGAGCGTATTAGACACAAATTGCGTTATTAAGCAAACAAACACGACCTCGGATAGTTTAATCCAAACAACTACAAAAATGTCGGTCGAAGGCGAACATATCGTTGGTAATGGCCGTGTGTTTGAGGACATGGCCCCTTTAACTCACAATTGTTCGTACAATACTCAAGCCAAAGATATGGGGTTTGAATCGATTGCTGACACTTCGTCACTCGAAGAACTTGAGGACTTCATTGATAGCGCATATTATATTGCGAATGCCGCAGCCACGCCGAATTTTGCTCAGACAGCCAGCTTTTCTACACCATTTCAACAACGAGCTGATGATATCCCGACTATAGCCGAGGCACAACTCCTTACATTTAAAGAAAAAATAGAATCGCAAATAGAAAAATTGTTGACTAAAGTGTCTGAACAAAATCATATTATTGACACAAATAAACAAGAGCTGTGCCGATTAGGAAACGAGAATTTGAATTTAAAGTCACGCATTACCGACCTAGAGGAGAAAATGATGATTAAAGACTCGGCTTCCATAACCTTTTCAAGTCCCTCAAAGCCATCTTTACAAGATAAGAAGTCCTTTAACAGTCCTGACAATGTAAATCCCCAACACGATGGATCAACTAAAATAAATCACCCATCTGGTGCATTATCAACCCCAGTTAATATGTAGATAACCTGCCCGCTGAGGAAAGTTTCCCTACAGTTATCATTGAAATAAAGAACAATGCCCTATTATCCACACAACAATCTAAGACTACAATCAACTCCTTCAAAAAAGATTACTCATTAAGCCTGAACCGCGAGCCTTTTCAGGCTAAGAATGTTTTAAACTATTTGCTCTTATGCGAAGATCTAAGTATAATCGAAGATGTTTCTGCAAACCTCACTTTTGACGAAAATGAATTAGATCAGCGTGAGCAGGATTTATTCGATGGGTGTCAACATTTCAAGCAACGTGGGAAGCAAGGCATATGTAGGAATTGCGACCGATCCTATGCAAAAACCGTGTTAAGCCTTGATGCCCTTAACCCTGACCAGGTGAATCCCCGATTGGATAGGTCAATCAGCGAGTCAAATCTAAAGCATTCTTCGTCCCCTCATCTTCCAGCCCCGAGACCCTCAAGTCTTAGACACGGTCAAGTTACAAACCCCTTAGGGTTTGTAAAAACTTTCAAAAACGAACTGAAGCGAAGCATGCTAGAACAAATATATAAGTAGATAATTTTACCTTGTTAAACTTTATACAAATGTCTTACCTTTTTACCTTAATTTAAATTCTAGATTCTAAAACTTGTAAATAGAACAACATTTATTTTTTGTAAATCAGTGTTGAAAATCCCTATTTAGGGAACACAATAAAGTATGTATGTATGTATGTATCATAAATTATCATCCCTTCTGCCAGAACGTTACTCTGCGAACTACGATTTCAGAAAAAACTCGAGAGTTTCATCTTCCAAAGATAAAAACAGATAGATTTTTAAAAACTTTTATACCGGCGTGCATCAAACAATTTTCTTAGATACTCAATTTTATATAACCTTTCAACATAAATTTTTATAAATCTATTTATAAATACTTATAGTATATATTTTATTAACTTTATATGAATTAAAATGTTTCCTGTAAATTATAGCTCTATAGAACTTAACCTTTGTTGTAAAATAACACGCAATTCAGTCATTGTAGACTGCAATGTGTTTCTTTTTAATAAACCTATCTATCTAACCTATCTATCAAGATTTGTCGGACCAGTTTCTTCGTCATGTCAGTCTTCTCGTCTTTCACCGCAACTCGTCAAATGAATTAATTAACATTGTAAGACAGACTCGTATAAGCGATTCTGAAACAGACATGATCATCCCACCGCTGAGCACCAAATGTAGCGTACCGAGCTACTGTTTAGTCGTCTAAAGTTTAAGATCAACATACTCACAACAGAGTCCAAGTGAAGAACAATATATTTGGTAAAAGTAGGTTAATTTATGTTATAAGTTTGCGTGACGTTAACTTATCTTACAATTACTTATTAGGGAGCTTTAGCAGCGACTACGAGTACGAGGAAATCACCGCAGTCGTCTTCGTTTCTATTCAAATGTTGCTTTTATAGCAGTAAACCAACAACGAGAGAAAAAGTTTCATAACCTCAATCTCCTGCAGGCTAAAATCCCCTATACAAAACGTGTAAATAAGTCATAACATTAAGCCAGATATAATATATTATTTACGCCGGATAAACGCTATATATAAACGCTACAAATTATTTTTGGAAAACAAAAAAAAGCCAACTTTCTTTGTTTTTTTTTGAAAAGTCGTCGTGAGGACTACGAGATTTCTCCACAATTTCGTACTCAGATGGGCGACGGCTACGACTTTTTCGCGTCAGTATGGGATGGCGTAAGCATACAGCATGCGTTTCGCTTGACGAATTTCGAATCTCGTACTCTAAAGTTCCCTAATACGTAATACTACATGCGCACACGCCCTACATGAAACTACACCCATGCGCGCAACCGCAAATATTCAACCTACGTCAGTGAACTCTATTGTAACTGGAACAATAACTCGGGCTCGATTTTTGAAGTCAAGATGGCGGAAACTGAAGCCCGTCTTATAGGTATGATCCAGGCCCCTGCGCGGAAATATCACCGAATTCAGTACGAAAAATAAAAAAAATTGGCATTATTTCATATAGAAATTTCATAATTTTCAGCCGACTATTTTTTTAGTCCGACTTTACCGTGGCCCTAAGAAACTAGAACAAGTGGTCTTTCAGAATAAACAAATTTTAGAAACAGTTCATCATAAAAAGCAAAATTATTTCACGTGAAAAGCAAGTTCAGAAAAAAAAACTCGTGGAAAAACTCGAGCAAACTTTTGTTTTTTTCTGGATTATTTATATGAGGTTTCAACAAAACACATAATAATATGGACTGCAGTTGTATCCATCTTACCTTTTCATTTAGTTTTCAGCTTTTAGGTAGGGTATTTACCGTTAAATGAGCATTTTTGTGCAAAAAATTGAAAAACATCGGTCGGAAAACTTTAGTCATTTTTCAGTTGCCGCGAAGCCCACGTGAATAACACGCGTGTTTTATACCTACACACGTAAAATGTCACATTTTGTAACAAGTCTGCCAACAAGCCGTCAACAAGATGTATTCGCACTGCTTGTCACAAGTTGTCAACATGTTTGGCAAAATTTACAAAGATCACGAGTACTATTAATCCCTAATTGTACGAGCAACACATAGAAATAATAGACTATTATTTCTATGTCTATTATTTCTATGGAGCAACATCGCATGATTACTTGTTTATTATTAGCATGACAAAATTGGATACGTACTTCTCAATGTCAACATCATATTCTCTCGCCAAAGCCCAGTCCTGACAAACTTGTTAGCACAGTCTTGTAACAAGGCTGATAATGCCATCAAGCTTGTTACAAGTTGTTAACAGCTTGTTTCAAACTTGTTACAACAAACTGGGAACAAGCAGTGCGAACACAACTTGTTGACAGCTTGTGAACAGACTTGTAACAATTTGTTTGCAGACTTGTTACAACTTGTGCGTTTTTACGTGTGTACAAGAGAGCACTCTATAGGCCGCCAACTAGGTTTCACCTGTCGGTTCGCCACTTTTAGCTAAATATATACTGTTATACCTGTTACACCATTTCAGGCCTGCGTTATATGCTTTTGAGGTACAGCTAAGTTAGGGGTAAATGTCAGTCCTTGTGGTAAACATGGCTTAAGGTAAATAAATAAATTTATGTCGCTTGCATTCTTCAGGTTCAAAAGAAATTCGACTCTGAAGGGATATCATGGAGTCGAGCAATGGATGAAGTTCGAACAGAGAGATTGTTTGAGAAGCACGGTAAAAATTGTTTGCTTGTCATAATACGAGATTGGCCAATCAGCGATGATTACCGAGATCAACCTGATTTAGTTGCAAGCTTGGAATATATGGTAAATATTTTAACTATAACTTTAATTGTTCAAAAAAATTGTCGAATTGTTCAGACAGTTTTAGCGCAATTGCCTGTCACCTCTAATGTCGCAGGTTCAAGCCTCAGTGAGAACTTTCTCAATATGACTCGAACCCAGTCCTCATGTGAGAAGAGTAAAAGTCAACGCTCTGCCGAAAGCCGTGGGTTTTCCCCGGGTACTCCGGTTTCCTCCCACAGGGAAAGTTGACAGGGTGGGTTGGGTAAAAAAGCCCCACAGTAATTGGCATATGCTGTCGTGGTGACCCTGCCCTAGTTGGCAAAGCTAAATAAATAAATAAATAAACTGGGGTAGACATTTTGAAACTAAAAAAATGATATCAGTGGAAAACGTATTCACAGCTTGTGTTTTAATTTAAAACAGACAATAGTGAAAAATAAGATTTAGCATTAAAATGATCTGAGAATTGCTCAAGATACAAATCCCAGCGGACAAAATGACGTTTATTCAACGTTGAATCAACGTTGGAAATGACCATCCAGACGTTGGATAGACGTTGAAAAAGCATTGATAATGCAAATTGGATCGACGTTACTGTTTCGACGTTGAAACAACGTTGAAATTAGGTTGCCAATCTCGTCAACCATAATTCAACGTTGAATCAACGTTGAAACAACGTTGAGATTACTTCACAAATCGACGTCGTACATTTAACCATGAATGAACGTTGATTCAACGTCTGTTGGCTGCTGTTGAACCAATGTTTTTAAAACAACGTCAGAGCAACGTAGATATTAGGTTGTCGACGTCGCAACCTTTTTTCTACCAAATTTCAACGTTGAAACAACGTCGTGTGCCCGGTGGGATACATCAAGATAAATATCCGATGATGGAAATGCATATCCAAAATTAAGATGTCGGAATGATTTTGTTTGAGATATCTTTTATACCAAGAACAACAAAGAAAATCTGCAATACGGTTTTGAAATATATTGAATCTTTTTTCAAATGGGAGAAACTTTACTTTGTATTGCTATTTCCCTTTAATTAATACCTTTTTGGTAAATAAATAGAGGATATTAAACGGCGGCGCGAAGATGACTTTTGTCTTCAAGTGGTGAAAACAATATTTTACGAACGAGCGCAGCGAGTGAGTAAAATATTGTTTTTAATGTTCCGTTTATTATAATTGGCTTCAAGCCACCGTGTAATGTTCTGTTTATTATATAGTCCCAAGCACAAAATTGTGAAATTTCACGCTCAAAAGCAAATTGGAAAAAGTCACGCGATCGATATCTTCACTAGTGCAGATATGGATTACTATATAATAAAGCCCTGTATTGAAAAAACTGTTGCAGTGTATTCATGGCATATATTTGCCGTGTTTTGTATTGAAACCATTTTGTTATTGAAGTCAGTGTACTAAAGTTTATAAAGATTAAAGTGCCTATATCACTTGTGGGACCTTTATGGATTTGAAAAGAGCGTTAGTTAATAGTGCAATAATTTCGAAGATACAGGCCTTTAAATAACTGTTATCGTAATTGATCACGTCTATGCTACGGACCAGCGGTATCTACATTATTTTAACATCGAGACGAGGCTATAGGGTCATGTTTTGTGTTTTTTGACCCTTTAGCCTCGTTTTCGTGCGTACTTCCACTGAGATACCGCTGGTATGCCGCAGCGGCGTATTCAATTACGATAACAGCTATTACCTACAGTTCCTGAGTCTCAGGCTCCTATGTACAATGGACAGTTTGGAAAAAGGCCAGATTCAATAGCCGTATTTAGAGCCCAGGAGTCTGGGACTCAGGAACAGTCCGTTGTTTAAAGGCCTATATCCTCAAAACTATTGCACTAAATCAAAAAAATCTTTTGAACTTATTAACTAACTTTTTACGCTCTTTTCAAATCCATAAAGGTCCAACAAGTGATATAGGCACTTTAAGAGTCATTTACTTCATTTATTCTGTGTACTCTAATTTGCGTATTTTGATATCCAAACGTGCCACATATTAACGCATATATTGCGGGGATCCAACCCATACAGGTCTTTGTGCATGGTGTAACCAACATCCTACTTTTTCTTTTTTTTAGATCAGCCGCTTTACAGAAATTATTCTTGAAAAAGTCGACACAGATACAGACTACGAGGATTTTCGTGACGAGGAAGACGAGACTGAGCCTACTTTGCTTCACCTTGCTGCTGCCCAGAACTTCAGCCACGTCGCTGCACACCTTGTGAGACATTACCCATCCCTTGTCTACCAGGACACTGAAGTCGTGGGCGAGCAGAGGGCGTACCTTCCTGTGGAGATGGCGCTTATGGCTTACAAAGACGAAACAGCTGCCTTTCTTATTTCACAAATGAAGCCAGACTGGTAAGATCATTGATAATATAAAAACGAGTGCTTCCAGTTTAATACCACAAGTTTTATCAGGTTATCCCAAACATAGAGGTGTGAATAGCCGAGATTTATAATGATATATCAAATCAAAATTTCAGTTTTAACGTTAGGAAATTAATTTAACGTGTGTAGATTTGTATGGCGATAAATTTATGCTGGATGTTTAAGTACTGTTAACGCGAGACGCAGCCGAGCGTTTTAGATATGATAAAACGGGAGTTCGAGTGTTTTGAATAGCTTAAAATACGACTACAAAAGAATGCTAATTAGGATGAACAATTATATAATGATCATACTAATTAGGATGAAGAATTATATAAAGAATACTAATGAAGATGAGTTTTATCAAATATAAAGTCACTCCACGTGACATATTATGGCTCACTTGATTTGCCACAAGGTTTATGAATTTTTTAATGAGTATTTTAATGTTTAATAAATTATTGACACATTGAATAGCTTCCTAATTAGCTAAATTGAGATGCTTATTACAAAGAATAAAATATGAGAATAATTTATACCATACAATAGTATGTTTTACAATTATGATACTATAAGAATTAAAAAATAACCATCAAGTCACGTATCAAGAAATGTATCTACAATTGCAATCCTACTCTAAAACTCTATAAGGGGCGGACCATTAGAAATCCCGGGAGGGGGGGGGGGTGAAAATTAAAAAAAAAAATTCGTGCAAAGAAAAATGCCTGGAAAAAATTCGCGCAGCCATTACGTCAGAGAAAAAAAATCGTGCAAGCAAAGTGCAAATAGTCTTGAAAAAAATTCTTGCAGAGGTTAAATGCATAAAAAAATCCTGCAGAGACATGAGACTGGAAAAAAAAATCGTGCCCCAAAACTTTTATACCCCTCCCTGACTCTTTAACAACCGCTGAAGGCCCGTTTACACTTGCAATCTTTGTTGCGATTTCTAGTGCGATTTTCTTCTTCTGATGGATGTGAACGAGTGAATGAGCTATTAACGTTCGGAGCATGCATGCATGTGTACCCTCATCTGAACATTCTTAACTCATTCACTCGTTCACATTCATCAGAAGGGGAAAATCGCACTATAGAAATCACAGCAAAAGTGTAAATGGGCCTTTAGTGATTTATTACATAAACCAATAGGCAATTCCAGCTTTTAATTTATGCCTGCAGGGGATGATGGGAAGTATAAGGTATCATATTGCTGATTATGCTGAAAAATTTCAATAAAAACTACCGAAACAACCGAATTATTTCAATATTTACAAGTATAAGCTATCACTCCGTGTTTACACGGCCACCATTTTTATTTTTTCGGCATATAATCAGCAATGTGATACCTTACTTCCCATCGTCCCTGCACGCATAAACTAAAAGCTGGAATTGCCTATTGAGAAAACTATAGGGCTGTTTCTAAAACGCTCGGGTTTGTACCTGTAATTATGATATGATAGACAACTTGCATGTTAGACTAATTTTTTATTTAGGCAAAAAAAAAGTAAATTCTCGTAAAGAACTTATTAAAATCAGTAAAACTGCAAAATTTGGTTACGAAATTTTATAAAATACAGAAAATATAGCCTTGCGAAGTTTGCATATTTTCAGTATGTTTGTATTACGTGCGGAAATTGTTACCATTTTTCAGCCGAAAATGGTAACAATTTCCGCACGTAATACAAATATACTGAAAATATGCAAACTTTGCCAGGCTATATTTTCTGTATTTTGCAACATTTCGCAACCAAATTTTGCAATTTTACTAATTTCATTATGTTCTTTTTAACTGTTGTGTTTGATTCCCTTCTCTTTCCTTAGAAAAAATTTAGTCTAACATGCGAGTTGTCCATTGACCATTCATTGTTTTCTCTTTATCTTATCTGGTCAAAGTTTTTCCGGAAGTGGATGATGGAGTTTGTGATCAGGTTGAGTCGTTGACACATTTTCAGAATTATTTTAATGAATATGTCACTGCTTTTAGCGATTGCAAATCCGCCGTCCGCAACGCTGTCTCATAGTATTTTTAAAACATTATCCGCACTCCATATTTCTGGTACTCCTATTGGAAGTTCATCTAATAAAATCATAAAAGTTACAGATATTGCCACTTCACAAAAAATGAAATTGAATCTGAAAAAATGTAAAAAAACGCACTATATCTCTGTAATTAGGCCGGTATTAGATATGGGGCACAAGTGTGGCAGTGTGCAGAAAGGCACGAACGTTAATTACCTCAGATAGAGTATATAGATATTGTTTCAGTTTTGCTTGCTGTAAAACATCAATGTTTACTGTATTTCCTGGCAAAACGTTCGATCTCTTCCCTGCTCAGACAAGTAGATAATAATATACCACGTTAATATGTATAGAGTTCCAAGATTGTTAAAGCCATAATGAGATCAAGAGATTTAAATATTTTAGACATATTTTGAGGCACATGAGTTATCGAAATTGAATTCAGTGATTTCTTCATGTAACTGAATAATCAATAATAATAAAATGAGTGAAGACCTGCTGTATATATATGAAGGAGTCGATAACGATCCCAAGGATCGCTGCATGAGACAGACGGAAAACATATCAGAAACGATACAAGTTAATTCTTTCAGACTCGCAAACTTTTAGAAACAGAAGATACAAAGTAAAATTTATCTTTTGATAATTCTATAGTCTATATATTAAAACATTTGTTAGTTGGATTTGCAGGTTAAAAGGTCCAGAGTACATGCATCTACTAGGTTTTTGTCCATCATTGTATATAAGAATGAAAGTCTGGACGTATCCAGCTTCGAACATTGGTGTTTCTACAGATATTGAAGTGAGATATAAACAAATAATTCGAGTCATTATAGATAGTAGTTAGTTTTGTTGGAGAAAATGCACGAAGTTGTAAAATACTGAGCTGAATCAACCAGCTATCATGGTAATTTGTCGCCCATCATGTCTTGATTTTGCATTTTTGCAGGAACATTTTGGCTTAATTTTTGCAGTCCCAGCCATAAAAACTATCGGCTCTGGCTGTAGGTATATAATTACATGTTTTACCGTGCCAGTCATGTCGTGAACATAAACCTAATTCTTCTTATAGGGTGCATGAACTCTTCTTGTACAATGCTAATTTAGAACGTGCAAAGTTCAGTTTTGGTCAGTTAATCAATCACAGGAACCCTTTAACAAACGAACCTGATATGAAGGTAAGTACTGTGAATATCATTTATGTTGTTATACATTCAAAATTATTCTCTTTCGTGATTAATAGATAATCCCCCGCTAAATTTTCAACATCAATAGCCACCAAGTTATTTCAGCTGCCACGTTATTTCTTTTCTTTGAAAGAAGTTGGGGCCTAAGCCTCTAGCACAATGCCTTGTAGTCGATTTAAAGACTAAATTGTTTGGTGCGCGATTCAGGAAGTGTAATGCTGCGAGATTTTTTAAAATTGTACTTATTATTCAATGGTATGGACAGCAACTCGAAAATTTTCTTAAACTACTCTTGTTGGGTCCTGAAGGGGAAAAGGTTTTTTTACTGAGTTTGTACATTACATTAGCTGCTACTTCGTTAATTTTCTTCGTGGTATTTTGGCCAATACTTACGAAGAGTTGATTAATTAAACTCATCAGCGACAGTTTTGTTGTCTTTACTGCACAATTTCCAAGTTGTGGATTCATGGGTATACATGAAGGTATTGATTTCCAAATGCAATTTGTATTAGGTCTGTTCTCTCACATATTCTTTCCCGAAAAATCGTAACTGTCGCTTTATTTCTCGTCTGTAATTCTTGAAAGCTGACCAAGTGAATGCATTGGTCTTTCGTCTTTCTTGCTATCTTGCCATTCATCCCACATTTGCATAAGCTGAGGGCACTCTTCTCTTTTTTTTTTAACCGGAGAACAGCATAAACTAACTGGTGATCACTTATTGAGCTATGTACTACATTGGTTTCAGAACTTTTCGGGTTTTGATGCTAAAATTACGTCAGTCAATGACTCCGTATTCTGAGTTATGCGGGTTGGAGATTTAATCATCTGGGGCAAGTTGAAACAACGGCTGAAGTTAACCAACATAGAAGAATCCGCACCGTCCGGTCTTAACATGTTACAAATTGCATCACCAAGAATGAAAATAGGTTTACCCAACAGAGAAGTAGTACTGACATAACCATGTTTTGTGATTCGAATATAAATTAATTGTAAATGTATATCCTTATAAATTGTATTATTTTCATACGATGGAGAATAAACGATAGGTTTTCTTCTGCATTCATTTGGTTCAACGAGTTTGTTTGGCGTCGTGTCCTCATCCCACATGCTTAAGGTCGCTAATATTTCGGTTAGAGAGGGCGGTACGCAAATTAGCCATTTCCCAATCGAGCAGAGGACTGGGTCTAGTCTTTGTTTGGAGGGACAAAAAATAAACAATATGCCGAATATGGAATTTAGGAAATTTACCTACATTCCTAAAGTTATTTGTGCAGCCTGAAACGCAACAATTATGATATAAGACACTTTTAATATACATTTAACTCGCTCACTATAACTTGTTGTCCCTCCAAACGTTCCTCCAAACATCAACTAGACCCAGTCCTCCGCTAGATTAGGAAATGGCTGATTGCATCTGTCTTCCGTGTTCCCGTGAGAGTCTTTACTAGCACCTTGCGTCTTACTAACCGATCTCTTTGTGTTAAATGTTAGAAAACGGTGGTAGCTGTTTTAGATTGCTTGATTAATCCGCACTGGCCATACCTGTCTCAAGCCAAAAAGGAGGCGAGCAAAGATAGCGACCACATTGAGCGTGCGTGGACAAGTGTCCCGGATGATCCTTTAAACTACGACTTCTATTATCACGTGTTAGACGGCGATAACGAAGGTAGGCAACCCAAGATTAATGGTGAAAAGAACAAGGAATTTGATGCAAAATCCAAGTCATGTCTTCGTCATTTGACGGAAAGTAGCAATAAGGTATGAAAAGTTTTAAATATACATTTATGTGTCAATCTTGAAGCGCCTTAGGTTCGTGAGTGGGTACGATTTCTATTTACGAGTTGTGAAGGATCGATTTAAACAAACGAGTGAGTTCAGCGACCCTTCACAACAACTAAACGATAAAAACCGTACAAACGAACCAACCATAAAATAATTCTGTTATTATATAAGTGTAGGATAAACACTGGCACTGACAAACCTCACGGCAACCAACACGAAAGCGAGGCTTATATCTAGCCTCCAGAACATATTTCTTATATATACCGCTTATTTTTTAACTTTTTCTGCTGGTAGTCCAACCAAAGTGGTGTTTCTTAAGTTGCTTAGCCTGGAGTGTTTTCTTGATGATAACACAGTCTTTTAATTAGTTTTTATTAGCGAAATGTGCAATAAAAACTCCCACTTGAGCGGCTTCTCTAAAACTGGGCGCCATGTTCGCAATTATATGAGCACGAAAACACTATCAATAAACTTTTTGATATGGATTTAGACCAGCCTAGATCTAGGCCTTCTATTTTTATTATTATTTTTTTAATATTCAGCGCTTTTTCACATGAAAAGACTGGGACTAGGTGATTTGGGGGCGGGGCCGAGGATGCGCAGGCGAAAAAATAGAAGGCCTAGTGGATTTCCCAACAACAAGGCCAAAAACTGCCCTGAAACTGCCCTGGTTGCGAAATGCCCAATTATTGCGTTCTCAAACAGAATTATTTGCAACTTAACAGCGAATTTAAACCGATACAGGTAAAATAAACTCATTTATAGTATAAACTTACTATTTTTATTTATATACACGTCTAGAAAATCGGGGTTTTTATCATAAAGTTTGAAGCAACACTATTATTATGTTGACAAGGTGAAGCGAAAGCACAAAATAATAATTCTTTTCTTCGCAAGACAATCTACTGTTTTGCTTTGAATAACTATATTTGCGAATTGGGAATGAGGATTTTGAAATTATTGTTCAAATATTACGGATATACCATTTGTAAACAATGTACGTTTTTATATACAGTACTGTACGGGCTAATAATATATGTATCCGTTTTATTTAATAAATTATAATTGTATATGTGTTTGTATATTTTACAAACACAAGACTGCTTCTTGCCAAAATTGAGAAAATATATATTAATGTAGTTGTCTATAAGACAAAATTTCATGAAAGATTCTACTTTTGGTATATATTTTGACTCATTTTGTTCTTTCGCTACACCTTGTCAACATATTAAATAATAGTGTTGCTTCGAACTTTATGATAAAAAAACGATTTTCTAGACGTGTATACAAATAAAAATAGTAAGTTTATACTATAAATGAGTTCATTTTACCTGTATCGGTTTAAATTCGCTGTTAAGTTGCAAATAATTCTGTTTGAGAACGCAACAATTGGGCATTTCGCAATCAGGGCAGTTTCACGGCAGTTTTGGCCTTGTTGTTGGGAAATCCACTAGGCCTTCTACTTTTTCGCTGGCGCATCCTCCGCGCCGCCCCCAAATCACCTAGTCTGCACATGCAGATTTAGCACAAAAAATACTCCGTTGGTCTGCAGGAAATTTTTGTCTCCAGGTTGTGCTGCCAGGAAGAAAATTAGTTTTTCTTCTTCTGAAGGATGTGAACGAGTGGATGAGTTATGGATGTTCAGATGAGGGTGGTACATGCATGTACCAGTGAACTGTAATAACACTGGAACGCTAACTGCAGATAAACATGCCCATACCAGTGAACTCTCTATATATATATATCTATATATAGATATATATATATATAGAGTTCACTGGCCCATACTTGCCTGAAGCCAAAATGGCGCTTCTCGCGAGCACGGCCAGCAATAAATTAACTTTCAAAAGGACTGGGGAGAGTTTCGAGGAGCGGGAAATTCAGTCAAAAGTTTGTTTTTGAGCGAAAATCAGCGAGAAAAAGTACTTTTTTATCAAAAGGCTTCAACTTTAAAGATTCAAACCTGGTTTCCTGGATAGTTCTAAGTATTTTACATCCACTAACAGCAAAAACGTCCTGGGTAACAGCTTGATATTCAAAATATTACGCAAGTTTGAACGTGCCGAAAAAAACTTCGCACTTTGACTCTTGAAAAAATAACTTTAAAACTGGTCTACGTTCTGGAAACATGTTTTCTATTAAATTTCAGGTATTGTTGAAAGTTTTTAGCGTTTGAAATACAGCTATTTAGTGGTCAAAAACAGACATCTTTTCGGTGGCGTATTTTCCACTCCATACGTACATGGCGGCCTTCATGAGTGGCTTCAAAGATGGCGGCCAAGTTATCGTCCCAGTTCCCTTAGAGTTCACTGAGTCCTGCCTCCTCCGCAGGCCCTCGTTGCGTCATGGGAAGGTCACGATCTGGCGAGGGCCTGCGGAATCTTGTAAAAAAAATGGCGCCGGCGTCACGTCAGCAAGTAAATTTCTACATAATCTTGAATATAAACAGATATAAAAAAGCGGTGTGAAACTTGTAAATTAAACTGGCGACTCTAAGGACGTGGAAGGAAGCATTTTTTAACGATAAGGTTTGTTGTCCACACCAACGTTGCACGAATAAAACTGCCTTCTTTAACGAAGCAGGTTCAAAACAACATTTATTCATTTTACAAGATTCCGCAGGCCCTCTCGAAATCGTGACCTTCCCATGACACAACGAGGGCCTGCGGAGGAGGCGGGTTTTTGTCTGCGCGGTTAACACGAAACTGACTTCAAATTTTGGACTCAAGTTCTCGCTCCAGATATATATTGAGGTCACTGATTCCAGTTAGTAATGAGCGTCAACTGTAGCAGTGTTGACGAGATCCTTACCACAAATCATCGTACGCTTTCTTCATCTCATTTTCAATGATGTAAGATAAACCTTCACGTAAAATAATCTGCAGCTCACACAAGATATCATCAGCCTAGAACAACAATATTTTTACTGATACAATGTAGTTCTATCAGTACCAACCTGTTCTTCCTAGAGGTCCAGTAAGGATCACTACAGGAGGAAACCTAAACTAACTTTATTTATACTGGATAGCTCTATTAGTTCTAAACTGTTCTCCCTAGAGGTCCAGTAAGGATCATCTCTTATTCATCCAGTGTTACTGCAGGAGGAAACCTAAACTAAGTTTATTTATATTGGATATAGCTCTATCAGTTCTACACTGTTCTCCCTGGAATATATATGCTCACCTTCTGGCGACGACGAGCTTGATCTTCTTCAATGACAAGTTGAGTGTTGTATTCTAAATAAAGTTATTGCGTTTTGAGAAAGGGTTCAATTCCTGTAGAATGCAGTTATCTGATTATAATGTCACCTCAGCCGAGCTCTAGGGGCCGGTTGTACGAAAACCGGATAGCGATTTTTTTTTCAATCTTTGTTAAATCAGTCGTTGATTGGTGTAATTCGTATTAAAGTTTAGTATTTTATTTATAAGTTACATGTTTTTTATACTTCTTATGTCGTCTATATCCGTGGTTTCACAGTTCTCAAGCATTTTTTCAAAAGTTGAAAAAAAAACCTATCCGGTGGATAGCGCTATCCGACCTTCGTACAACCCGCCCCTGCAGTTCATCTGGTTATCCAAGTGTACACCATACCTTCACTATGTTGTTTCACCATCGCCCCACACTGAAATAAATCTTTCAACCCTGGAAGTAATTTCTAAAAAAAGTTGAGTAGAAATCATTGAGTAAAATCCTAGTAAACTCAACGGATATTTCTCCAATACCGACACTTCGTCCCTTTGGTGTCTGCAATACCACAGTTAATGCGAGAGGTCTCCGAATGTATAGTGATTAGTGGAGTATTATTTCATCAAACTCAAAATTCTGACCTCGTGATTAAAAGCCTTTATCCCATTCACCATCGCTTTATTGCACAAGTTGACATCATTTGAAAATAACACACAACTGCCATTTTGAGCTGTGAAGATAAAGACAAAACTTTCGTTGGTAGGGATACAACTACGTGAAAAATACAAGGAGTTTCTTCTTGAAGTTCTCCTTATATTTTCAGCTAGTCGTATCCCTATCAACGAAAGCTTGTTATTTATATTGCCACTACCTACACTGGTACAGAACAATTAAGATTATAAAATAAAAGGGTTAGAATTTATACCACAGGGTTGGCGCCGGAAATAATTTATAGGAACAAGAGAATTAAACCATCTTAAACTAAATCTCTCGATAGACCTTATGCATAATGACGTCACAAGGCTTGATGCCCGCGAGGAATGCTGATCTTAGTAGTCATCGACCGGGAAAATTTCGATAGTGGCCATTTTGAATTGTTTAATTTTCCCGGGCGATGTCTACTAAGACCAGCATTCCTCGCGGGCATCTAGCCTTGTGACGTCATTATGCATAAGGTCTACCCCATTTATTAGCGTGCAAGGCCACTAGATATGGAAAGAACTAACAGTATTTTCTGATATAATAGTTTTGTTTGTGGAACACCACGTAAATTTATTACTGCAAAGCTTTCGATCCGTAAGCCCGGATCTTCATCAGTGCTAATAATATGCTAATAATACATATTATTAGCACTGATGAAGATCCGGGCTTACGGATCGAAAGCTTTGCAGTAATAAATTTACGTGGTGTTTCCACAAACAAAACTATTATATGTTTCATCGCCATGCAAACATACAGGTTGAATGATGTTTATATTTCCTAACCTCTTTGATGAAACAGCAAACAACATTGTAATATTTGGTCATCATTCATCTCTTGTTGTAGATTTCCGACATGCTCTGCAGCCTGGAAAATACATTTGCATACAGTTTTGAGGAAAATTATCGAAGACCGTAGCAACAACTGTTCAAATGACTTAATACGGATCGAAAAACAACTAAACACATTCTGTTGAACAAAAAAAAACAATTATTACTTTAAAGGTACTCAAGAAGTGCATGGCTAATGTCAGACATTTGGTCCATGTCAAATGTCTGATGACGTGATGCTTAATAAGCACTTCTAAGGTCTATTACGCATTCAGTTTACTCTGCCCAGCCAAGCAAGACAAACTTTTCTGATTTCTCATCCAATTTTTATCCAAATTTAACCAAAACTTAATCAATTTGTCCTTGGCCAATGTTCATCAGTTCCACAAAGTTTCGTATTACTACGTTTGATATTTTTTAACTTGCTGACACCCACTCAGACACGCACTAATAACAAACGCAAACATTATCCCGTGGCGGAAGTAGTCAGAAATTAAAGTGATCATTTTTTAGAAATTTATTCTTTATTATAATCAACCATCACAAAACCTGTTCATAGTTTCGTGACGAGTGGAAATTGGCCAACAAATCCGCCAATCCTACCTCGTCTACTGTCTGGCCTCGTACGCGAGGATCAGATTTGTGAAATGAACTGTTGAGAAACTTGATAGCAACTCTAGCTAACATATCAACTCTCGTTGCTTTATCACCACTCTCGTGAGATCTCCATTTATTCTCCTGGAAATAAACCGAAATCATTTATACTGTTCAAGCAAAACATAATTAGATATGATATATACGTCTTCATGATAATGTACGAGTAAATCATACAATTTTGTATCGAATAAACATGCAAGCTCTCGTGATTTTTTGTTTTTCTCATGGTAAAAATATAAATGAAAAAAAATTTTCATAGTAAAAAAAATAAATAATTGTGATACAGCTGCCCTGGTCGCTAAATCGGTAGTTCACATTCTACTGTAAATTCTACCAAACATTGTAAAACAAACCAGATCATACTTACCTTGAGAGAATCCAACTCCTGTATTACAACCCACGGTATAACTAAAATTGGCATACCAACTCCTACCAGCACAATTTTAAAATCGGTAAAGTTAGTATACAACGCCTTTCACAATTTATCCATGCATGCACAAACTAAAATTGTCGTTTTGAGACAAAGCAAAAGTACAGAAAGGGCTTGAAGCGTTGCGTAAATATTACCTGGGATAGGAAAGTCTTTTAACTCGGTGACAAATTTTAAATGCGATAGTAATACATTTGTGTCCAGAACAATATACAAGACACCCTATAGATAGGCAAAAAATAACAACCGTTGAATCATTTCACAGTTAATTCCAGACCATAACTTATTTCATAAAACATAAAAACAGCGAGCATAGAAGTAAATTTGAGTGATTTTGACTAGTTGGTAATTCTGTGCATCTTGCATCGTTATAGATAGCTTTTATACGTCTGTTAAGTTTGGGCCGGAATACATTTGGCATGTGGGTAAGTAAAATCAGAACGACGCAGCATAGCATAGGAGCTTTACATCCAGCCACATACTGCATTGCATATTATAATACTTGCGATGCATAACGAGGGTTGTAACTGAAAGGAAATTTAGTTTAACCAAGGTTTTGTCGCCCTTAATTGCAACATTGTTACTACAATAGTGTATTCTGAAATAACCATTATGGCTTCTTCATGATAAACCACGAAAGTGCGATTGTGGTTATTGTATTGTTAATTACTGTTACAATTCCGTTCTTATATAGAAGATACAGCATAATGTATAAAAATGATAACTTAGTAAAAACGTACCTCGTAACCATCGCTTGAAACTTTCATCGCCATTTGATTATCCTTGTGAATCTTTAAGACAAGTTACAAAGGTGTTGTTGCGAGTTTGTGCAGTGCGATTAATATTCAAATGATGTACAAATAAGAGAGCATGAAGCTGCACCAGTAGTATGATTGCATACAAATCCATGAATGTTAATGATCTGAACGACTAAAGTCTAAAGAGTAAAGAGGAAGTAAACAATGCTGTAAACTGTCTAAACATTGCTTACCTGACTAGGTTGGACCACAATACTGCCTCTCATTTCTTTCAGCTAAAAAAACATATAATAATTTTGAAAGCAATATTTTCTTACGTTTTTTTGTATGCATCACAAACGTCTTTTCCTTTCATCGCAATTTGCATCTGACTGAAATCCCGCTGTTTAAAAAAAACAGCGGGTGTTTATGGCACGTTTGTTCTCATGTTAATCTCTGGTAAAACAGCCACAAAGGAATGTTTTAATAGAATGTCGCAAATGGATTTGTCGATGAACGACATTTATATCAGAGTGAGAAAATAATATTTAATTTAATTTATAGCTTTGTATTGGGGGAAGCTGTCTATAAGTATAATTAAGAGGTAAAGTGTAGACGTATAATTTAATTTTCTTGTTCCTAGAAATGTCAGCAATTTCTGAAGTTGATCGCCATGTATCTGCTGCTCTGTAACGCTAACTGAAACCTACCATGAAGAGCTCAATATATATCTGGAGCGATAACTCGAGCCTAAAAAGTGAAGTGACGTCCCAAGGAGTGTGCCGAGATTTCGTATTTAGACTTCAATTTAAAGACTAATAGTATGATTTTATGAAGTGAAAATTTGATTAGCGAGACGTTACGTTAGCGATACGGTTGGAAAAAACTGGATTTAGCTTGGGAATTGGTATAAAAGCCGTTTACGACCTTCAGAGCTATTGGACGTCAATGGCCGCCATCTTGGCTTCACTTTTCTCATAGTCCATAGACCGAATGACTGAAGATCTTACTCCAGATATATAGAGAGCTCATCGACCATAAAACACTCGTGATATACCTCCTGTACAATTTCTTTAGCCAACTCTTCTGCATTATCAATCTCCATATCTGCAACCTCACTTTCAGATAATGGTATAGAAACATCGCTCCCAACCCCTTCCTCCATTGAAAAAACGTCATCATCTGGCTGAACATTGTCAAACACTTCGCTATGTCCTTGAATCACTGCGCTGGATACAAGCTGTTGTGGTTCGTCTAGACCATTCTGCAAACTATTCTCGCTTGGTAAATTAACATTTTGAACACTAGCAATTGGAGGAACATTATTATCATCAACACCGAACAAACTTTCAATTAAGTTTTCACTTGCAGCAGTTTCTGAGACTAAAAATCTATTTTGATCAGCTGTAGTTTTCCCGCTCAAATTTCTCGCAAAGCTATTGGCTAATTCAGAAGATAAACCATTTTGATTGGCTGGAGATATTTTCGTAGTGCTACTTGTTGTAGCTTTTGCTGTAGTCTGCCCGCTAAGGCCCTTTTCTAGTTCAATTTGGCTTGAATTAGTTTTGTTGTGTTTTAAGTCCGTTAAGTTTAATTTATAGGGTGCATGGCGCTGTTTTGCGTGCGTTTGAGAGTGTTTGGGCAATAATTTATCCAAAATATCGCTTTTTGGCTCAGCAGTCCCCGAATTCGTTTCAACTCGCTCTATGATGGTTGCCTTTTGTCTTTCACTCTTTTGCTTTCCAATGATTCGTGCAGACGTTTGTTTTGCTTGTTTCATACTAGACACTTTGTCTTCTTCAACAGTAATAGTTGGTACAGGATGGTTCTTAAAATTAATCCTTGATGTATCAGCAAGCCATGCTAAGATTCTGTCACTGGACTCTGAAACCCCGCTGTCACTGCCTTCGCCTAAACTTTTCGTTCGCAACAAGGGTTGAAGTTTGGGTATCTTTTTAGCTTCGCTTTGGGATTTACTTTTCAATAATACAGGCACCTTTTGTTCCTTTAAAGTCTTAAATGCTTGGGAATTCGTCTTGCCACTTGGGTTGACAGAATTAGTTATTTCTAGGTCAGCTTTAACAGCTCGGTTGCCAAGTTCATTCGCTTGTGGGTTACTTTTAGCCGAATTAAATGTCCGAGTATTTGTTTGAGCGGTTTCGTTGCAAGGTTTAGATGCCTGCGTGTTATTTTTAACACTTTCTGTGTAAGGTTTCTGGTCGTGAGCGCTACGCTTAGTATTTTCCACGAAGTTTCCCGTATGCGACTTTGAAGGAAGTTTTGGCAATGCCTTTAAAAATGGTTTCTCTGTCGCTTTCGCCTTTGGTAATGCATTTAAGAACAGTTTTTCAGGCAGTTTTGAAGCATCACAGTTTGTTTGGTCTTTTTTTAATTTCACCGGAATTTGTTCCTGCTTTGTTTCATATTGCTGCTTGAATGACTGTTTGCCCTTTTCGTGTTTAACTTTATTTCGTTCGTCGCCCGATGCTTTGCGTTTCTTAGACTTGGATTTCTCACCATGTTTCTAAACAAACAAAAAATGGACATGGATAAGGAATAATATGTCTCTTTTCCACTTTAACCCTATTGTAACGTTGCGACGCCGTTTTCTTTGACGTGAAATTCAGCAGGAAGTTCAAGAGGGCAACCCTAGAGTCGAATTTTCCTAGCAGAGTTTTTATTGAACTTCTTTGCTTCATGACTGTGATAATAATGATGATAGTGGTCATGGTGATACTGGGTTGTGGTTATGATGGTGATGATGATGGTGATGATAATGGTGGTGACCATGGTGATACTGGAGGTGGTGGTTATGATGGTGACACTGGGGGTGGTGGTTATGATGGTGGTCATGGTGATACTGGGGTGGTGGTTATGATGGTTGTGATGGTGATAATGGTGGTGACCATGGTGATACTGGGGTGGTGGTTATGATGGTTGTGATGGTGATAATGGTGGTGACCATGGTGATACTGGGGTGGTGGTTATGGTGGTGGTCATGGTGATACTTGGGGGTGGTGGTTATGATGGTGGTCATGGTGATCTGGGGTGGTGGTTATGATGGTTGTGATGGTGATGATGGTGGTGACAATGGTGATACTGGAGATGGTGGTTATGATGGTGATACTGGGGGGGGGGTGGTGGTGGTTATGATAGTGGCCATGGTGATACTGGGGTGGTGGTTACGATGGTTGTGACCATGGTGATACTGGAGGTGCTGGTATGATGGTCATGGTGATACTGGAGGTGATGGTTATGATGGTGGTGACCATGGTGATACTGGGGGTACTGGTTATGATGGTGGTCATGGTAATACTGGTGGTGGCAATGCTGGTGGTTATGATGGTGATCATGATGATACTGATGTTGGTGATGATGTTGGTGATGATGATGTTGGTGATGATGTTGGTGATGATGATGTTGGTGATACTGATGTTGGTGATGATGATGTTGGTGGTGATGATGTTGGTGATGATGGGGTGATATATTAATGTTTGATTGTTTTAGTACTTTAAAATCAAAGATAAATAAACATCATCATCATACATTCCTTTCTCCAAGGCTAGGATGATGCCATTGCGTCTTCTTTGTTTCATTGTTATAATAATACAACCTTTTGGATTTCTTTGAATGAAACACTTCCCAGTTGTTTGGCAAACCTTTTGCAGCTTCTTTCAAATCTTTAGCAGACATTGCTCAACTTTATCCTGTTCTAAATCAAGTGCAAAGACTCAACCACCCTAAATAAGCAAAGAGAATATTTGTCTGATGGTGGGTAATATACAGCAGCAGATGGCAATCAACTTCAGAAATGTCAACATTTCTAGGTACAAAAAAATTAATCCATTAAGTGGCATTGTGTTCCCTACTTTATTATTTTACACACACACTAGTTAGTGAATTAAACTTCATCTTTCAATTGTATTGATTTGCCTCCAAACCCAAGATTGGGCCAAAAAAAAATGTGGGTTTCCGGTTTCTTCTTATAAAAACTTAGGTAGGGTAGGTCGGTTTTAACTTTCCGAACAAGCGGACGCCATTTTGGCCTTGCTACATACAATGAAAATGATTAATCCATTGAGTGGCAGTGCTCTAACATGGGTTAACAATATTTTCAATCTGACAACCGCAAGTTGAATTAACATTTCTATAGTACTTTACATCAAGTATTACATTCACCTAATTACATACTTAGCCCAGACTATTTTATCTTTACAACAATTGTGATATTAGTTTCTTAACTGTGTTTATCCTAACCCACCCTGTCAACTTTCGCTGTTGCAACCAGAGCACCCGGAGAAAACCTAAACGGGCATGACTTTCGGCAGAACTGAAACTCAGCTATTGATAGTGTTTATATCCAAAGGATGAACATAATGGATGAAAATATTGTATATAAGCAGGTTTCAGTATGGTACTGAGCTTTAAGTCAAGACATATAGTGAACAATACAGGGTCACACAGGAGGGGCAACTGCCCCCCCCCCTCCCCAAAGAAAATTTAACTTACTAAACCTGGTATTTTGAAGTAATATTGAGATGATTTCATGATCTCTAATTCATCTTTATTACATCACAAATAATGATTAATGGCATATTTAAATGTTCTCAAGTTGAGAAGTTCAAATGTACTCTAATGTTATATTATATTATAATGCAGGTCAGCTTTTTATATTTGCAAGATTTAACCATACAGACTAGTCAGTAAAAAGGTCAAAATTCCCCAAGAAATGTAACTATCAACTTTTAGTAACCTATACTATCGTATAACATAATAAACGTTATTAATATATCAGTCTGCGCAAAACACGGATTAAATACCACTTTGCAATTTGCATAGCTTCTATAAAGCACTAAACTTACCTTTCTACATCGTTTTTATGTGAGAATACACACGTAGTTATATATACTTTAGGATATTCAACATTAAGCAAACATAAACAAAACGAAAAGCAGAAATGTTTGCAAAACAATGAAGCATGGTTCTCGTCCAGATCTGGCCACCATTTTGACTCCACGCGAGGGGTACACGCAGGATTCACATTCGCCCCAGGCTGATAAACCTGTGTAGATAAAGGTCGTACAGTTTCACAATGCGCATGCTCCATAGAAATAATATAAATATCTATTATTTATATGGCATGCTCCTAGCTTCAGGTAGCCTGCGTTTAGTGCGGGCGGGAGAAGAGAGGGCGTCAGCTAAACGCTAGCTAGCTAAACGCCTGCTACGCAGACTAAGCTTCAGGTATTAAATGCTCACTTGACCTCACAATCGGGACTAAAAGCGTGACAATAGACAAGGTTTTTATCTGCGAGTGTAAACCACTCCAAGGCTTTTCCTAATTAGTCAAGATAGAAACAAAAACTCGATGCTGCAATTCAAAAACATTTGTAATTTATCAAATTACATTATATTATGTACAATAATGAAAATTTCCATACAAATACTCATGGTACACGTTATCTGGAATATCAATTGCCCATATACTTCTGCACTAGCAAAGAGCTCATTCACAAGAAACAGTTCACCAAAATTTCATCACTTTCCGACGCCAGCCCTCCGCAAAGGCGGGGTCGTGGGGATAATCAGTCTGCGCAATTTTTGAAAAATAACCAGTTACTTATAGACGGCTTTTCATAGTGGTCAACTTTGCAAGGGAAAGGCAATTATACTATAAAGTCTATAAAGGGGTATCCCGGTAAAAGGCAACAAGTATATTCCAGATTTAAGGCCAATTTACACTATACAACTTTTGCCTAAAACTGTTGCATGCAACCCAGAGATGCAAACTGTCTACAACTTGGGTTGTACTGTGTAAATCAAGCCACACAACTCACTTACGACAACGCAGGCTAGATTACTGCATGGTATTATTTATTATATTTATAATATATATTTTTGCAGCCTCTAAACTCTAAAACATCAATTATCAAACTCTTATCATACTAATGTATGTCTAAATATTATATGAAGACATAACTTTACATATTTTATATATGATTTTATATAAATTTTTACCACTTTTAAACTCTATAAAATGTCTACAAATTATACCAAAGTTCCTAAACGAAAACTTTCTTTTTATCAAATTATTTACACATCATTCTAAATTCTCAATATTTATCAAAATATATTCATTCTTGTTAATATATAAAACACAACAACTACATTAATCACTATTGGTCAGATGGTGGTCAACGCCTGTAGTTATCAGAGTGAGAAAATAATTTTCCTCAGTATATACCGTAGACTCCAGCAAAAAAATAGTTTACCCTAAAAAAGCATTTCTGAAATTGACCACCACCTGTTGTTGCAAAACCACCCATCACAAAGTCGTAATAATCACGTGACTAATCATCAATGATCACGTGACTTATGATCACTGATCACGTGACTAATAATCACGTGTCAATGGAACGATCCTTGCGTGATTTAAAGCCAGTGCGTTTGGTACGCATACGTGATTTGTTAGATTTCACAATAGACGACTGTCTACGGACTTTTTTCTTCCGGCCTGCGCTTTTCTCGTGATCAACACCGCCATTTTCTACGATAGCTTCTTGCTTGCTTTCATTCAAAGTGGAATCAACAAAAGCCTGATTGAGATCAGCTGAGCTTTCCTCTGGAGAACCACTAGCGTCCAGGACTATCACGGCCTTACGATTTGATGATTCAGCAATTCTTCGTGATCTGCGCAAACCCTCATTGGTACTTTGATCAGCGGTACGATTACGACGTTGTTTACTTCGTGTAGTATCTGGTTTCTCACCAACCTCACTTTGTTGCCTCCTCGTTCCCGTTTTTCTATCCCTTGCTGTAGCTTGTTGCTGCCTTAGTGTACCCTGCTGACCATTATTACCCACTGATGTTCCCCTAGGTAACTGTCTCTCCTTAACAGCCTGGCTTCGTGTTGTTCGTTTTGTTGTCGACTCCTCTGTCGAACTTCCTTGCAATTTTGAGCGCGTATATTCTTCACGGCGACGACTTGCTTCGGTTGTCTTCGGTGCACCTCTGCTCTTCTTCGGCTTATGTTCGTCGACCGTCGCCTTATTTTCGTACACCACTCGTGGCGGTTCGAGTGCTTCCGAGACAAAATCCAACGTCTCGAATAAATCGTCCAGTTCGTTCCTTCTTTTGCTCTGAGTGCGTTGTTTTCTGGATGTTTTTGTATCTTGGCTTTCTTCTTGAGTTGAGACCTGAAAATATTTCAAAATGAGTCAAATCCAACACCTTTAAAAAGAAATAATACAGCAACTTACATCTAAGGCTGATTGGCTGAGCTCGGTGGAGGAATTCAACAGCCTGCGAACAGGCTCTTTAAATTGTCTAATTCAATTCAAGGAGACTGTTCGCAGGCTAGGGTTCAACGACCTCAAAAATACAAGTAAAACTAACAAATATCAAAGAAAAAACAATCCTGACCAAATATGCAATTAATTACGCTGGTCAAGAAAAGAAACTTGTTACATTACCTCAGAGTCAGAAGGTTTGGAATATGGATCGTCGTTACCGGGACTATTAGGGCCACTAGGATTCTCTATAGGTACATCAGGATCATTATCCATAAACGACTCGTCCATTGGCATAATTGAAGCTACCTTTTTACTGCCACGAAAACTTAATCTCTTTTGATCAACTAGGGTTGCCCGTTTTTGGGGAGAAGGTGCATATTGGATCCCTTCGGGTGATTGAGGGATATTAGTTGGTTCCTCAAGTATCTCCCAATAGTGTTTTTTCAAGCTTTTACTGGGATGATCTTTGGATGTTGAGGGTTTACTTGGCTGATCTTGGGATGATTCGGGTTTATTCTGGTACACTTTGGGATTCTCAGGTATGGGTGTGTTTTTAGTGGAATGTTCAGGGATAGCAGTTGATTGGTTGAGATAGTCTGAGGGATTTAAATCCCGGTCTGATTCACCCTGGGCATATGATGCTTCTAAATACATCCTAGGATCCAGAACTTGCGAGGTACGCTTGGTGGTGACGACATCAGCAGCTACGCCACCGGTGACGTCATTTTCAATGGGTATCACAGCGGGAAGATTATGTTCTGAAGCGGTCTCAGAGAATCCCATACCGGAGTCTGAGCCCGAGTGTGACCCCGAATCCTTCCCATCGTCCCTCGCATGCTCGATATGGTCCCGGAAAACGTCGTCACTCAGACGACGACGGTGTTTGACGGCGCTTTCTGGAGGCACGAATTGTGGACATGATGTATCGAGTGCCTGTTTTTCCCAGAGTTGTCTACAACATACAAGATAAGATGAGGAACCAAAATTAAGCCAAGCCAGGAAACACTGTTTCATAACGTACCACGTTTCCTGATGGTGGTCAAATCTGAGACACGAATATATTCTGACTCTATTCATGAGTTTATTAATAATTTTACTAACAATCGTAAATATTGTAACAAAATAACCATAGAGAATAACAAAATCCAAAGCAACACAAAATGCAACAACACACACATGAAATATACCTGTAATTTTGCATCAACACTCTAATCGGTTCATGAACAGTCTTCGTTTTTGATAAGATTATAAAACTACCGATCTGAAGAAAAATTCATGAAAATGTCAGATACAAATTGGTAACAATTCAGAGAACAGAACACTATACGTGGTACACAAATTCTACAAGACTACAAATTCTACTCGTCTGAGCTGCAAGAAACGATGGTTAGCAGGTAGAGGGTACCCCACCTCCATCCAACCGCTGACAACCATGAACAATTTCGCTTCATTCAAATCCCAGACAAGAGAGCGAAATAATTGACCATCTGTGAATATTCTGCGAGGTGTCTCATCGTCGGGATCTTTGGAGATACATCTATATTGGGAGGACAAATATGAGAAGAAAGGAGCATATTGCTAGGTGTATTTAAAGCAACAGATGGTAGGTGGTGAACTTGTTCACACTTATATGAGGAAGAAATTAAACTTTTTTTGTGTGTGTTGGTGTTATGTACTCAAGTGAATATGATGTTTGTGATGTTACTCTGAGTGTGCGTCCACACTGGGCAAGCTGAAAAGTTTGCCTGATCATGGTGGGAATGGAACCCGCGACCTTTGGGATACTGGTTCAATGCTCTGCCAACTGAGCTACGAGGTCAAGTCGGTTCGAGTAAGTGATATTTTGTCACTTTCATTTACTTCCCACCAAATACAAGACTACTACATATATTGTCACAGTTCTAAGAGTGAGAGAATAACGCTAAATTCTTTTCATTATATAATAGTCTTGTATCTGAAGTCCGACAAATTTGACTTAATTTTCTTGCTCCCAAAAGTGTGAACATTTCCGAAGTTGAACACCATCTAGTAGTTTGCAATATTCACTGACATGCACTCATAAGGTAAATTTTTACTAAGTTTGGGCAGGTGCCTTGCATGGTTCTTCGAGTCCCGTTTGCGCCTCGCCCATTTAGGGTCTCCGAATAATTGACTTTATAATTAGACTTTGTACATATACTGTAGTGGACCCTAATAAAGACAATAATAAATAAATAAATAAATAAATAAATAAAAAACCACTCCTTAGCAAGAAATATTGACAATATTCACCTGAAGATATTAAGCATGATTTTGAGAGTTCCCTGTATTTCATTAAAACTGTAGGACTTGATAAGAATGTTGATGGCGGAATCCAGAGCTGACGGAATGTCCGCATTATAAGCTGAGAAGACTTTCTCCTGCAGACTTTGACGAGAAAATACTTTCTAGAAAGAAAATATAAAACACTCGAGCGACCGGCTTTTGAACAACCGACCCTTGAACTTCAGACAGCATGTAGAAGCGAAACAGATAAAATACCTAACATACTATTTGTTGAAAAGAGCAACAAGAACATACCCTGGGTAAGGTATTTGATTTGTGTGAATCATCTTGAAGCTTTTGCTTCACATTTCTCTGAGCAGTTGAAAATGAGAAGAAACGTTTGACTGGCTTAGGACTTCCATCCGCACTAGATAAAAAATTAAATGTTTAAATAATTTTATTGATACACAGTGGTTAGTGTAGGTCCCTTTCACATCTGACCAGATCAGTTGGTGATCGGGCTTCGATTAATTTTGCAAAATGTAAAGTTGCCGGATTATATAGTTTCACCTCAACTTCGTGAAGAGTGCTTCCAATTCTCCACTTGTAGTAACTCTGGATCATCAATAATTAAGGGACAACCATTGCTGGACTTCCATGAACATCAATTTGAAGCTGATATAGCTATCCATTATTTCGTATAATTTAGTTTAGGTTTGAGATAAAAGCCACTAGTATATACTTGCCTGTCTAACGCTGAAATCAAATCTCTTCGACTTTTCAAGTTACTACTGCTGGTAGAGTTTAGAAAAGCAATTTTTTCTTTCACACTCACTTGACTGTTTGCCAGAATCTAAAAGAAGTTAAAACATAAAAATAAGCACAGCATTCTACAATAAGCTGCAGTGGTTTGTCTCTGAACTAGGTCAAAAAATTAAAAATATGTTTCGAACAAAAGCACTTTGTCATCAACAAAAGCACTTTGTAACCTTCCTACGAAGAGGTCTCCTTCGACAAAGTTTTATAAATCATTTTCAGGCAGTTCCGGCAATAAAGTATACGCAGTCCATATTTTACCTTTTGTCGTTCAAGTTGGAATTCCTTGAGCGTTTGTTGTCCGTCCATTGCAAGTGGTGTGGTTAAAGCCAACATGGCGGCAATGCCAGCAGCCGCAGTGACCGCTCCTCCGTCATGGTATTTCAGATCTTTCTTGTCTGGTGTGAGTGTCTTCAATAATGGCGCAGTTCTTTGCGCAGCTGGTGACAGACTGCAAATAAAAACGAAATTACAGTATTATTCAGCCCCCATTATGGCTTTTCAGTTACCGATTACATCACCTATTACGCTTACAATATACCTTACTGATTATTCTCTTTTCACCCAATGGCCTCGTTTTCGTGTCAAATACTTACTCGTGTTTTGTGCTTAGTAGGGTTGAAAATTACTTTGCTATTGAGCCTAAGAACAGCAAGAAACAAATTCGTCCAGGAAAACATGGGAATATAATCTTTATCTGCCCCTGACATGCTAAAATAAGTTAACATGGAAACGAGGCCATTGGGTATAAAAGAGAATAATTGGTAAGGTCTATTACATACTTAGCCTAGACTATTTATCTTTACAATAATTGTGATATTGCTTTCTTAACTGTGTTTATCCCAACCCACCCTATCAACTTTCCCTGTGGGAGGAAACCAGAGCACCCGGAGAAAACCACGACTTTCGGCAGAGCGTTGATTGACTCTTTTCATATGAGTCCATAACGAGAATCAAACCCACGAACTCAGAGGTGAAAGGCGCTTGCTGTGACAACTGCGCCACCGAAGATGGACGTGACGCAGATATACAAAGAATAGACGACCCCAGGGGCGCACATTCAAAAAAAATTTGGGGGGGTGTCCTATTTTCCGGGACCGACTTTTGTAGTATTTGTGTTTGATAAGAAAAGCCAACTATTTTAAGGTGTGCACAGTACTCGTGAACGGTGAACCGGTGAAAATTCGGTTTAATTAATGTCACAGTCTTGTTATAAATACAATTAATATAAAATTTAAGAGTTGCATGGACGTATGGTACAGGGCCGTAGGAAACTCTTTTCGATTTGGGGGGGGGAGAGGCTGAAAGCGAGGGCCGAGGCCCGAGGAAATTTTTAAATTTAGAGTCCCTGCAATGCCATTTCCTGGACTTTGGGGAAGATTTAACAGAATTCTGATAGTCAGAAAAAAGCGTTTTAGCATGTCGAAATTTACAATTTATAGTAGTACTAAATGGCCGAAAGCGTATTTAATTAACTATTATATGTTGAATAAGTTGCAGGAAAGTGTGGGTAATACCATGGATTGTAAAATAACATGTACTTTATTATCCATGGTAATATCTTCATTCTTTGCAGTTTGTCACAGACTAAATGATAAAGGTCTGCATGACATGTGACCCCTGTGGTTATTGCACAAAGTCGAGTAACTATGTAAAAAAATATCATACAGGGGTGTCAAAAAGTAGACCGTTAGAAATTAACCTGTTGTTCTAAATGGAATTTATAGCCAGTATATTAGCCACAAGCCCACAGTACATTATTAAAGAATAGTACATTATTAAAGTCAAGAGCTCAAATATAGACAATAATGGTTCAAAATAAATCTATAGTGCGTGCCCACATGATATTCAACTAAGAGTATTAAATATCTGACAACTCAAATTGCTTAGAAAGTTATAGCAATTAGCAATAGATTTCAGGCAGTCAAATCAGTTTTTTAATGGTTCACCTGCACAGCTTATTTGATCGAAAAATGACAATCGGAATTACTTCACACAAATAAGGCGCTCTGTTTTGGCAGCTCGGCCCAACGATCAACAACAGTGTCTGGGTCCATTATATTGTATCCGTGAGATCCTTTTCATATCCAAGAGTGATTAGATCCCTTAGACTTTTTTCTTTCATGACTGAACGAATGGCAGTCTTAATCAATTTAAGCTTCAAACTCGAAAAGCTGCGTGTTCACTCGATGCGGATGTAATCGGTTATCTAAATGTGTATAAATGCTATACACTGCCACATACCTCGGTAACCTCTCTTCGATTTATTAGAACGTAGACTCCTCCAAAATTGCGGATGGACTCATAGACAGGGATAGAATTCCAAGAGTTTAAATAAACGTTTAGTTTTTCAGAACTTCTGCTCTAAACTTTCGGGGGGCCAAAATTTTTTATGGATTTCGAGTGCGAGCGCCGAAGGCGCGAGAAAAATTTTGAATTTCTAGGTTCATTAGAACGCTATTTCACGTATTTTAGGACGAGGTTGGAAGAAAAGTTACAACCACAAAAAGTCGCCTAATTTTGTTAGATTCCATTTCCAAAATGTCCACCTATTTCTTTTTTCGACACAAAATGATGTCTTTCAGATTTTAGCCGGACCGACTTTTTTTCGTCCCATACAAGTTTCGGGACCGACTTTTTAGATATATTTCACAAAACATGGGGGGTGTCACACCCCCCCACACCCCCCTAATGTGCGCCCCTGGACGACCCTGGGGAAAAGGTTTAGCTGTACGGAGCTTTCACGATAAGCATTATCATGCAGCAAATGATGGTCAACATTAGAAAATGATGTTAATTCTTCATTATATGGAGTAGCCTTGTATTTGGTGACAAATATATATATATAATTAAGAGATGTAGTTTAATACTAGATTCCCCTTATTACGTTTTCGTAGCGCTTTGCATTGTGGTTATAGTGGCATCACTGATATTCAAGATGGCTTATTTTTGTCCTGACCCGTGCAAGAACGTTTAAAGAAAGCTAGGGTCAGGTGCGCGATAGCCAACAGCAAAATATTCGCCAAAACATTCAATATTTTCATTCGATGTCACTATCTTTATCAGTGATACCACTATAACCATAATGCATAGCGCTACGAAAACGTAATATGGGGAATCATCAATTGTCGTGCTCGTACAGTATAAGTTTCAATAGTTAAATAGACCATAATTTTCTGTGCAGTAAGAAATCCACCAACCTTTTAAAGTCGTCAAACACCGAGCTACTCTTAATATCCAACTTTGCTCTTTTATTTTCTTTCTCGGCACCAGTCTCTTCCTTCGTGACTCTCGTACTTGTAGCCTCATCAAGCTCCATCTTCTCTTCAGCTCTCTTCTCCTCTCTCGCTCGTCTTAAGCTTGTAAAAACTCTCTCAGTTTGTTTAATATCACTGTTAGTACGTTTCATCTGACCAACTCTAGGACTAGGGGCAGGACTACTACTAATACTTCGTGTAAAGCCAGTATCTTTGGTTGCACAAAGCTCACTTGGTTTTCTAAGAGAATTACGTAATGGCTTAGGACTGGATTCTTGGCTGTTAACTTTCCTTAGCGTTGCTTTCGTATGCGGTTCTTTAATGGGAGTCACTCCAGTTCGCGTCTTACGGTCAGAGAGTGCTGTGGCATCTTTTGAGGTACTCCTTGCCAACCCATTTTTAGGGTGTTCATTCGTTTGTGATAATCCTTTCTCAGCCCGATTCTCAGGCACTTGTTTCTTAGCCCGACTATCAAACACTCCCTTCTCAGCCCGATTCTCAGGCACTTGTTTCTTAGCCTGACTACCAGGCACTCCCTTCTCAGCCCGATTCTCGGGTACTTGTTTCTTAGCCTGACTACCAGGCACTCCCTTCTCAGCCCGATTCTCGGGTACTGCTCCCCTTTCTTTCAATGCTACACTTCCATTTTTCAACGGTTGCGCTTCCACATCTTTCTTCAACTTTTTCCCATCTTCTTTCTTGCCCGCCAAATTTTCATTGGAGTTGGACTTCGTATCTTTATCAAACGAACGGAGTTTTGGTTTTGTTCCCCCAAACAAACGCCATCGTTTGGTCGAGCGCTGTTTCATCAGCACACTATTTTCCTTATTTTCAGCGTTTTCTTTGTGTTTCGCGACTCTTTTTGGACTTTCAGTGATGGTATCCAAGCTATTGTTACTTCCGTCTGTATCACGTGATTTAGTTCGTCCTAGTTTCCGTTGTCTGCGGCTGCGCACCTCTTTCTCATCCGCTGACTCGGAAGATTGACTGTGCAGCTTTTTGTTCTTGGTCTTGGTTTTAGAGTTAGGTGTGACGTCATTTAGTTCGCTGTCAGTGTCACGACTGTGTTTGCGACGTAATGCTTGTTTGATCGACTTTTTGCGGCTTTTGGTATCTAAAAAATGAAACGTGTTTTAAATACTAGTAGGTTCTACACCATTAAATGCCGTAGTTTAATTCATTTTTTCAGGAAGTTTGGAAAAGGATACATTTATCCTTCAAACATGGGGCCAGTTGCTCAAAGTTGGTTTAGCTTAACTTAACCTAAAATTCAAAGCAAACTTCACAATAGCTTGTTTATAAATTTGGAAATATTTTTTCAGAAATCTTGTCTGACACAGTAGCAGTTTTCTTCTCTGAAGTTTTGAAATAAACAGACGTACAGAAATACATAAACCAAGTTAAATTTTAACCGAAGGTTAGCGCTAATCCAACTTTAAACAACCGCGGCCCCTGCTGTTTACTATCAGGGTTAGGTGTTTCATGGATGAAAACTTGTTCGCCTGCTCTGATTGGGTCTTACAAGAAAGTTCATAAAAATATTCATACCTTTCTTTTCGTCCAGGTCATCGGAACTGGATTTCCTCGATCTGCTTCGTCCTGTGAAATAGAAAGACTTGATATTACTAACTAGGGCCGATTAAAGGCCCATTTCGACTCAAGAAAAATTTCCACGGACAGAAAATTGTTAAAAGTTGAAAATTTTCAACGATTTCCGACGATTCGTAAAGATTTTTGTAAATTTTATAAATTCTAACCTTTTTTCTCATCCAGATCATCGGAACTCGACTTCCTCCGGTTTCTTCCAGTTTTTTTGGTCACACTCATACGACGCTTTGTGTTTTCTAGATGGAAAAATATTAACGTTAGCAAAAGTCCTCAGTGGCTGCCAGCCCAACATTCATTTATTTACGCCAAAAACATTACATTCCCCAAAACATTACATTCATTTACTTGCGCCAAAGAAGCGAGCGAAAATATATCTGATATTTAAACAACTACAAAATATGAACTTTTCTTGAGAGTTAATATAGTTTTATATTGTGCTGAGAATAGACAGAAAAGTGAACTGACCTAAGAGTGAACTGACACCAGAAGGACTCGCAACTCTAAAGTCAGCAGTCACAGGATCATCCGAGTCATATAAATGATACACTTCCTTGACTCTCTTCAAATTTAAATCAACGTAACGAGTGGATGGATTGATTGTGTACGCTTCAAACTTCTTACGTAAGTTTCCAACAGAAGTAGCCGAGAGTAGTTTGTAGATGTTTTCTCTCTCGCTTAGGACTTGTAATGGAGGACGATCCATTGCGAAGGATCGTAGCATCCACGCCGTGTCTAAGGCGCTCAAGACACCACGAGCACACCCGGAACCGGTTGGCCAGAATGGCTAGATAAGAGAGGGTGGTTAGTTGAAGTGAAGATGCTGGGGGAAGTGGTGATGATGGTAGTAATGATGATGGTGGTAGTGATGATCATGCTGATGGTAATGATAGTGATGGTATTGATGGTGGTAGTGGAAATGGTGGCAGTTATGATGGTGTTGATGATGATGGTGCTGATGGTGGTGGAAATGGTGGCAGTTATGATGATGATGGTGGTGATGATGGTGTTGATGGTAAGGATGGTGGTGGTGGAAATGGTGACAGTTATGATGGTGGTGATAATGATGATGATGGTGTTGATGATGATAATGATAACGAAACAATCACTCACCTCGATCAAACTATCCCCAACCAAAGCCAACAACAACCTATGTCCCTTTCTCTCTACAATCCTAGCTGCATGCTCAGCTTTCTTCAGCGAGGTAAAATCAAACACAGCGATGTCTGACTTGCCTCTATCGTTCTTAACAAACTCAACATCTGTCAACATTCCCTCTGTGCCAAACTTTACAGCATCCAAAGCATACTCAATAAGCCTTTCATGATTCACGTTCTGAGACGCAAGCAAGTCTGCAGGCTTTGGATAATCCTAGAGTGACAGAAAATCATTGGAAACAGGATTCATCCCAAATTCTTTTTTTCTTAAATATCTAGTGTGATAAGTACGATGAATACGAAATGAACAGTCGAGTTTAAAAGAAACAAACGAGTTCAATTATTTCTTTACTGAGACAAAGTTCATCCAGGGACAGGGTTGTCTTCATATTTACACTACTCGCGACGTCTAAAACGACCGTTCACTTTCCCCTGGGAGGAATTTCTCAACAGACCGAAATGAATTTAAGCAGTGCTGAACTATAAAAACATAACAAAACGGTTGATAACTTAGCAAAAACTAGACAATCCTGTGGTAAATGAAGTCGCGAGAAAAACAAAGTTGGCTTCAAAATATCAGCGAGCTATTTCCATCACGTACAGTACTGTTTAATTTGCTAATGACAAATTAAATAATCTTAGCTTTCGAATGAACTACAAAGAAGATTTGACTAAACTATTCAACGCCTACGAGAGTTTCCGCATAGTAAAGATTTTTTAGTAAACTTTCACATTTTGGGGTTTAAAAAAAATAACCGCGTTTGCGCCGCATCACGTAATATCCTGGGTACGAGGTTGCACTTTCCCCTGGGAGAAATTTCTCAACAGACCGAAATGAATTTAAGCAGTACTGAACTATAAAAACATAACAAAACGGTTGATAACTTAGCAAAAACTAGACAATCCTGTGGTAAATGAAGTCGCGAGAAAAACAAAGTTGGCTTCAAAATATCAGCGAGCTATTTCCATCACGTACAGTACTGTTTAATTTGCTAATGACAAATTAAATAATCTTAGCTTTCGAATGAACTACAAAGAAGATTTGACTAAACTATTCAACGCCTACGAGAGTTTCCGCATAGTAAAGATTTTTTAGTAAACTTTCACATTTTGGGGTTTAAAAAAAATAACCGCGTTTGCGCCGCATCACGTAATATCCTGGGTACGAGGTTGCACTTTCCCCTGGGAGAAATTTCTCAACAGACCGAAATGAATTTAAGCAGTACTGAACTATAAAAACATAACAAAACGGTTGATAACTTAGCAAAAACTAGACAATCCTGTGGTAAATGAAGTCGCGAGAAAAACAAAGTTGGCTTCAAAATATCAGCGAGCGATTTCCATCACGTACAGTACTGTTTAATTTGCTAATGACAAATTAAATAATCTTAGCTTCCGAATGAACTACAAAGAAGATTTGACTAAACTATTCAACGCCTACGAGAGTTTCCGCATAGTAAAGATTTTTTAGCAAACTTTCACATTTTGGGGTTTAAAAAAAATAACCGCGTTTGCGCCGCATCACGTAATATACTACACACGTAAAAACACACAAGTTGTAACAAACCGGGTGTAGCAATGCTGTTCCAACAACTTGTCAACAGGATGTGTTCGCCCTGCTTGTTCTCAGCTTGTTGACAACTTGCTATAAGGTTGTCGAGCTCAACAGACTTGTTACAAGTTGTCCTAACAACTTGTTATCGTACTGTAATTCAACAATTTGTCAACAAGTTGCGAGTGACAACCTTGTAGCAACTTGATGAATAACATCATTGTTACAACATTAAGGTTGTGAGGTTTTTAGGCCGTGTGTACATGAATTAACGTCGTGTTTAGAACTGCTACAGGTTAAGTCTAAACTATATATATTATATATTTACACTTTTCGCTCTGAATTTCCATCTAATAATAGACAAACTGGCATGTTATAGACAAATTTTTGACCTAGGCAAAAAAACTCCCGTTAAGAACTTATTAAAATTAGTAAAATTGCAAAATTTGGTTGCGAAATGTTGTAAAGCTTGGAAAATATAGCTTTGCAAAGTTTGCATATTTTCGGTATATTTATATTCCGTGCGGAAATTGTTACCATGCATTTTTGAGCCGAAAATGGTAACAATTTCGGCTCGTAATACAAATATACTGAAAATATGCAAACTTTGGAAGGCTATATTTTCCAAGCTTTACAACATTTCGCAACCAAATTTTGTAATTTTACTAATTTCACTATGTTCTTTTTAGCTGTGGTGTTTGATTCCCTTCTCTCTGCTTAGATTAAAATTTAGTCTAACATGCAAGTTGTCCATTAAACCCCTCAGTAAGACTGTAAGGACAATACCCACCATTAACAATGCGCCTCTGGCAAGCAAACTGCTCTTCACAGCAGTCATAACAAAATAATGCGTTTCTCCTTTGTAATACACAAAGTTTTCCAAACGCACACCAGTTGTTTGATACAGTTCGTCAAAAAACTGTGGCTTGAAATGATAAGCCAGACCACTAATTTCTGGGATAGCTGCTTCTTGTTTTGTACCATGGTAGACCAGGTTGAGAGTGATACCAATTGCAAGACTACCTTGGGTTAAAGAACAGGAAACATTCAAGCACATGCTGCCCCATTAACCCATCAAGTTGTATTGCACCCTAATGTGCCCTACGCAATTATTTTACTCTCTCTAATGCCAGACGATTTTACTCATCAACGGTAGAGCACTGGCACCCAAGGTGTTAAGGTAAATTGGGTATGTATAAGAAGAGTGAGGGAGTGACTAGAATAGTTTGATGATGGTTAACCATGCTAAAGCTTGTTTCTTTCCCTTTCGTTTTCGTAGAGGCCGGGTTTCATATGCTAACAAAATGTGGTCATAAGTAAATACACCCCTACCTCTCATTTCAATCTGTGGAAAATTAGGCAGGACATTCTTTTTGCCGTCTGCTCCGACAACCATATCTAGATCCACCTGGCTGGCAGGGTGGAATGGAGGATCCACTTGACATCGCCAACCACATTCAGAAGTTGGTTCAATCACTTTCTCAAACGTAACCCCGGTATATATCTGAACACCCAGGATAAGAGCTGCTTTCATCAACATGCATTGTAGCATACGAATACCTAGAGTTCACACACACATATACAGTTCAATATGAAGGACAGATGGTCTACAATGTTCCCAAAAACAACCTTGGTTGGACCTCTACTCAAGGTCTTAAAATAATTGAGGACAAAGTGCTACATTTACATTGGACTTCAGTAAATGGTTAGACTTTCGCGTCTTCTCGGATAAGGATGTTAAAATGGTAGGTATCTCGAATCCCCTATCAAGTGGCATGGACAATAGGCTGTTGGGAAATCTGCTCACCAATAAGTGAGAAACTCGATAAACAATAAACTAATAATAGTTCGTCTAGACACATAATGTGTATTGTGCCCGTTTTGATACTGAAGACGCATAACTAAGATAGCTTATTTGTGTGTATTGTGCCCGTTTTGATACTGAAGACGCATAACTAAGATAGCTTATTTGTCTAATAATCTGTCAGATTATTCATCCCATCTTTTAATACACTAGACAAATAATACAGAAGACGCATGCCTCCAGACAAATAATGCGTCTCTGGTGTAAAAATGGCTAAATTATCAGATAAAATTAATTTATGAATTAATATATGCAATACTCAAAAGCAGATAAAATCAAGCATAACCCAGAGTTAATGTTCAATAAAATATACATGAAGTTAATATTTAATAAAATTATTTATTACAATATTAAGTTTTAAAAATATTACAGTAAACTAGGCCAGCTTTATATTATAAATATACACGATTATAATTTCTGTACAAAATGTTATAAAGTGCAAGCATGAAGGGTCAAAAGATATCAAATTTTTATTTCCGATTTTTCTATTTATCCGGTGTTGACATACAAAAGTCTCATCGTTTCAGCATGTAACTTAAGCCATAAAGCCGAGAGGTCACGAAATTCAAATATACAAAAAACGTTAAGAGCATTTTGAGCATGTAATTACATGTTTTAAATAAAAATATTGACCAAATTTAAAACATAATTCGACAATAAACGCGTTTTGCGACAATTACTGTATAATAGACACTTCAAATATGGATAATTCCGTGTTTATACGTTTTAAGACACAAATATCTAGTATAAAACGGAAAATTCTGAGGTTTATATATTGGCCTAGACATGTGCTATATAAAAACAATAATAAATCTACGTACAAAAATACAAACCTATGTGATCCAAAGAGCCCGAACAGAATTTGCCATAAAATCGTTTCGCTCCGAGCGAACGAAAATCAGGAATTAAAAACGGCCAAAGATGAAGGACATTATTACGACTAAAACACGTCCGTTTTTCAATTACAATAACTTTGGCACCGAGTAAAGCTATTTCGATAGCAGTTCTCAAGCCGATCGGCCCAGAACCAATGACCAACACTTGCAGGTCTTCGCAAATTTTTTGATTCCCGTATTCCTTGTGTTTCGCTCTCGCGTCCAGTACGTCCCAAAGACTTTTACATTTCCACGACTGAAGCTTAGATTTTAATATAGAATAAAGCTCTCTACCGTTGTCCACATTTTCCGCCCCGACGGCAGCTTTAAGTTTGTGAAAGCTTAGCAAAATATCAACGGAATCACTCGCCGTAGAGAATTCGTCAAAGAGAACTTCGGCTAGCTTTGTCGATTCGTTTGACGCTTTGCCCTTCGCTACCACCATTATAAAGCTAAAGCTAGGTTAGGGCACATCTTCCGCCTTGCTTAAAAGGAAAAGGAAGCGAAGTCATCCCATAATATCGGCTAAAACGTTTATTTTTCTGAGCTGATTATGTCTCAAGCCACTCGACTTGTCCGTTTCGAATGAATGCGCTTTTGCCAGGTAACCAGTGGAATGCGACTTCATAATCTCTTCCGGTTATTTAAACATCTCTGCCAATCATAACGCGCGCAGAAGACATTAATATTTAAGCAGGAATTAAATTATAATGCGCAATTATATCGTTATTGCTAACGCAAATAGAACGCCTACTAAAGAGATTTTTCTTAAGTTAAAACGTACGTGCGTCAACATACCTGCTGTAATTATTAATAAAACCACAAACGTGGTCTGTGTACACACTACGAAACAGAATATAGCTTACTGTTATTAATAGTGTACAGGAAAACACTACAGACACTGGACCTCCACGTTCAATCTACTACTGACTTTCAAAAACTCACAAGACTTCAAAATCATTCAATTAGACCACATCGCCTTTTATTTCCTAGCCTTGTATATACAATGTCATGTTCCTATTATTGAAATGAATCATTCAGAAACGAATCATTTACATAAATAGAAAATTATTAAAATTTTTCTTTTGGATATACAGTACAAATATTGGACCAATTTGGAGAATGTCAAGGTGAATGTTTTGACATATTTAGAAGAATCTATTCAAAGAATGCGAACTATACAGCTCACAATTCAGACATATAAAAGATATATTACTATGTAGTGTTATTTCCAAGACATCTTTTTATTACGGTTTTTCACATCGCAAATAATCTCCAAGTTATTTGGTTCACATGTAAGTAAATCTTGGTTTTTGAGTGTCCAAGATTCCTCTATTCAATCACACAGAGTTCATAAACACAGAGTTTATAAACAAAGAGTCTCTCTTTCTACCTGACTTTGCCTTGTAAAACAGAAATATCAGTTTTAATTCCTGAATGAATGATTGGTTTATCGACATGGCCTTTGTCTTTAGTAAGCAGTTGATCAGCAAAGAACATCGCCTATAAAAAAGAAAATACAAACGTTTAGGCTTGCTTATTTAGTACATAAGGAAAGATATTGAACTCTGGCTAATAATACGTGCGTTTTACTTATAAGTAGCTTCGTGCACCAAATGGTGGTCTGTAGTTATTAGAGTGAGAAAATAATGTTAACTATGAGAGTATGTAGTTAATTTTCTTGCTTCTTTGACCACCGTATTGCCGGGAAACGCTTACTGAAAGACTGAAACCCTCCATGGCAACAACTGAATTAGCTAGCTGTATTAGTATTTCTATTAACTATGGCTGTGTACTACAACAAAAGATACAAAATCTATGATATTACCTTCTGAGCGCTAAATGTTTGGACGCCAATAGATCTCGTTTCACGTGTCGTTGTTAATTTGGTGTGCACTGGACCAAGTTTTGGTTTAGCCCTGGGTACAATGCCTAAATCGCCCAGTTTATAATGTGGAAGTGGTCTGGAGGGTGGGCGTAGCCCAGCTGGAAGAGACGACCTATATTTAAGAGAGAGAAAATTGAACATGAATTATTTGTTGGTATTCATGTTGTTGCTGCCGTCAGACCTGGAAAAAGTGTTTAAAGTTTCTCGGATCCTGAATTTGTCTTTTTCAAATGTTCCTTAAAAGTGCGTATAAAAACAATGCAAAGTTTGACCGTTCGATTTGAATGCAACAACAAAGTACACTTGACTGTATTTATGTTAGTAAGTGGGGGTAAGTAAGTAAGTGGGGTGTGCTAATCATCCTTACTTGCAGCTGAGAGCTAAGCTGAATGGATGAGTTGCCGGTTCGCAGGCCCCCTTTCACTGACCCTTTGTTTTTCGCGGCCAATTGCACCCTGGCGATCCCATAATACCAATATTGTATTTGCAAATAATACAATGTATTATGGGATCGCCAGCAATGTATTATGGGATCGCCAAGGGGCCGCGCAAAACAAAGGGGGCCTGCGAACCGGCAACTCATCCATTGTGAAGGACGCAGCTCAACCTGATCACGTGCGAACACATCCTGTTGATAAGTTGTTGGAGCAGAATTGCTACAAGTCTGCTGCAGGTTTGTTACAACTTGTGCGTTTTTACGTGTGTAGTTCAAACCACATAAACCACTGCAGCATATTTAACAAATATAAAACATTTTCCGTGTTGATATACAGTTATATCAACACGAGTGGAATTGGGAAAACGAGAAATTGTATGGAAACACGAGGCCCGAAGGGCGGAGTGTTTTCATACAATTTCGAGTTTTCCCAACTTCCACGAGTGTTGATATAACTATTTATCAATACGGAAAAAATGTTTTATATTTTTTTTATAATATAGCAATGTCAAAAGCCCGAAGGATAAGAAAAATTTCCGTGTTTACAAGCGGCGGAAAATTTCCCGTGTTGACATTGAGTTATATCATCACGGCTCTTAGCCAATCAGCGTTCAGAATTTACAAATGCTATATTATAATGTAGAATACTACATGCAGTGGACGGACCTCCACGTTTGCATTATTGTCCACCGTCCACGTATACTTCTTTTCTTTGAGCTGTAAATTAGAATCATACAGCTTTATCAATTAACCTACCTTGTTTTTCTGCGAATATGTCTGCTGAGATCAGCGCCAGTGTGCGAGGCACTCATTGGACGGAAATTTCTAGCATGAGGCCCCACCCCATACTCGGCTGCGCTGTTTAATATTTCCAGTAAAATCTGAAGTAAACCTTCGCGTTCTGCGTCCAATCTGTGTTTGATTTCTTCTGCACCAATGACTTCCTCTACGTCCGTTTTTATCTAGTATAGAGGCAACTTTTATTTATACTGGATATCTCTATCAGTTCTAAACTGTTCTCTCTAGAGGTCGAGTTAGGATCATGTCTTATTGACCCAGTGTTACTACAGGAGGAAACCTAAACTAAACTAACTTTATTTATACTGGATAGCTCTACCAGTTCTAAACTGTTCTCCCTAGAGGTCGAGTTAGGATCATCTCTTATTGATCCAGTGTTACTACAGAAGGAAACCTAACCTAACTTTATTTATATTGGATATCTCTATCAGTTCTAAACTGTTCTCTCTATATAGAGATCGAGTTAGGATCATCTCTTATTGATCCAGTGTTACAACAAGAGAAACCATGCCATATTCGATGGGAAGCACTCTTCACGAAATTATTATCAGAAGTTGAAGAAGTCAAAAAGTGGTTGCATTTGCAGAAGCAACATGCATTAACCACGTGCTACCAACGTATTCCAGTGGAAAAGGTCTCGGCTGAAAGAACTACAATACCTTAAGAGAGGATTCCAATGCATTTGCAGCTTCAGATAAAGTTTTGACCAACGCGTCTTTTTGTTTCATCGCAACCTCGCGATCTTTTTTCACTTTTTCCATTTCAATCTCGTAATCCTCGTTCTTTATCGTGGTTATCTGGAGAAAATTAGCAATACATGCTGTTTAACCCATTAAGCTGTATTGCACCCTACTTTATTACTTTACTCTGTCTCACGCCAGACGTTCTTACTCGTCAAGGTGAGAGTACTGCCACTCAAATCAACGAACGTACCTTCAATTCCTCTTTAATACTTTCCACTTGTTTTTGATAAAGTTCAATTTCATCTTCCAAATCTTGATCTTGCGTGCTCTTTTCTTCAAAATCCAAGATCCTGTCTTCTTGATCCTTCGCTTTCGCGGCAAGCATACGGATAATCTAGAGATCAATGAACAACAATGAAATGTATTCGTCTACTTTTTATGAGAACCCGTATTTAAATTGAGGTTCTTAATTAAATATAAAAATTGTCTTGATCTACGTTTTAACCAAAGCACTAGGCCTGTTTCAAACGTCGCGCTTCTCATGTGCCGAACACATTAGAAACAATAGATGAGGCATTTCAGCTGATTATCTATTGTTTTTAATGCGTTCGGCACATGATCAGAAGCGCAACGTTTGAAACAGGCCTATGTTTTATAAAAGCCCTGCTACCTTTTGGTTACTAGAATTCTTCTTAGCCAGCTCCTTTTCATTAAACTCCAGCATATCAATATGTTGCTTCATCTGCTTTTCTTTTTCTCGAAGTTGATCATTCTCTTCAATCAACTCCATTGTCTTGTCTGACATCTTGGACAGCTGGGCGTTAATCGAGACATTCTCTCGTATCGTTCTCTTCGTTGTCTCCGCCATCTGTTTGTTGGAAACTTTTCTAAACTCAGCCGCAACTTGATTAACGCGTAGTATCATTTCTTTTTTTAACCTGAAATTTTTTTTATGAAATTTTTTTTCAACAGTTTCAATGTATCACAAATATGTCAAAACAATGAGCAACAGGTGGGAATTTGCAGTTTGCTGTGTCTTGCAAAATTGACCTTCAATGTCACACATATAACCATGCAAGTCCACCAAGAGGCGGGGCACTTTGCCCTGGACCCCAAGCTCAAAAGGGGCCCCAAAAGCAATGAAGGCCCTTAAAATGTATTGAAACAAGATTGCTTAAAAAAAAAATTTTGCCACGGTCCCTGCACAACATCTCAGGAGCCCTGTATATAACCGTGGTTCTGACCAAGGCATATGGAGCGTGGGGTAGCTGCATGCTTCACAATTTAAAATATCTAACCTATCTTTATCAACAACTGCTTTTCTCTCCAAGTTATAAATCACATCTTTGTGTTCCACTTTATTGCTTTCTAGTTCTTTCTCAAGTTTGGCAAATTTTGCCATCAAGTCTTCTTTCTGAACTTTGAATTCTTCAAGCGAGGCCAGCTTTCCGCCAAGGACCATGTTCTCTGACGTTAACTGGTCCTTCACTTCCTGCATTTCTGTACGTATGGTCGCAAGCTGCACTTCATACTGGTCTTTTTCAGCATCTTTTGCTTGTTGTAAACCTGGGATTTTGGGGACAGCAATGTATTTCACTCATTGCTAAATTTACCTTTGAAACTAAACTAACTTTATCTACACTGGATAACCCTATCAGTTTCAAAGGTCACGCTTCTCATGTGCCAAACGCATTAAAAACAATAGATAATCAGCTGAAATGCCTCATTATCTATTGTCTCTAATGCATTCGGCACATGAGAAGTGCGACGTTCGAAACAGGCCTTAGAAAGTCTCATTGTCTTAGGGGCATTGGGACAAGCAGTGGTGGTACCAGCATAGACAATAGACATTACAGGATTTAACATCACTGCTGACCAAATGTTTTGAGAATGTTTGTGGGCATTCCAAAGGAGTGTAATTTATTCAAAGGGGTGGGGAGAGGGATGTAATTTATTCAAGGGGTGGGGGAGGGGTGTAATTTATTCAAAAAGGTGGGTGGATGGGTGGGGTAACACATTTTGGGGTTCACCCACATGGAAAATTTGAGTGAACAAAATATGAGGGATGCAAAGATTTGAATAAAGAGTTGGATATACAAAGATGGGGGTGGGTGTATGAGGGGCAATGTCAAGGACAGGGGTACACCCTCAGGCTGATAAAAAGAACATATGCCATTTTCTACCAGTAGTACATTAACTACCCCCAAGTTATAGTTAATATGAAAATAAACTACAGCACCAGTATAAATTCCTCAATCCTACCTATCAAGCGATCTTGCAAGTCAGCAAGCTCCTCGCCACGTTGTTCGAGTTGTTTTTTCAAAAACGACACAATTTCTTTCTTATCATTAACCTGTTGTTCATACTGAGATTTAAATCCATTATTCCCGATTTCCAGTTCGTCGCATTTCTTCTGATAACGTGCTAGCCGCTCTTCTAGATCCCGTATTTGGACCAGGAAATACTCCTTCGAGAGCTCGCTCAGCTGCTCAGTCAGTCCTGTCGCGTTGGAATTCGCTTTCTTCCCGCTTTTCTTCTTCTTTCCACTCTTTTTACCCTTCTTTTTAGGCGGCATGCTTCGTTTTAAATGTTTACAGCGTTTAAAGCATCATTTTGTGCGATAGATTTTGTAAAATTTATTGTTTTTATTATAAAAACAACAAAATGGCCGAATTTACTTGTTGCCATAGCAACTGTCGCGACAACACATGCCAGCGAAATTCTAGGACAGTGGTTATGAGGTGTGGAGGTACTTTATTTTATAAGAAATGAAATGTATCGGGAAACAGAGGTTAGAAGCGGTTTATGTTCCCCGAGGTACGAAGTGTCGAGGTTAATAATAATATCATATTAAAGTAGCGCAAATAAGCATTTAAAATAATAAATTATTAAAATACACGGTCTATGTTCAATAATTGGTCACTTGGCTCAGACATAAAAATTTGTTTAATTATCTTCGCTTTCGTTTCGTCCTCCTATAGAATCCTTTCTTTTTCCCCCTTTCTTTTGATGCTTGAATTTCCAAATATTTTCGTTTGTTATATCTACAAAATAAGTGGGGGAAATTTCATGTCTATAAATATTATGTCACTGATCACGGTTTATCAATTGATAGGTGTGTTAATTAAACAAAATGTTTACCTTCTAAATTCTGCATCAGCCAAGAGACTTTCAACAATAGTTTGTTTCCTTTCACGTTTAGGCAATCGAGATGAGTAGAATTCTGCTGGGCCACTGACCACTGTACCAAGCTAAGAAAAGCAAATAAAAATTAGTATTGAATGTATTGAACATATTAGTATTGAATGTGAGCCAAGCACGTCTAGTCACTCAACAACAGTAACACAGGCTTTCTCTGGGCCGTAATCACGTTTCCTCCTGAAGTAACACTGGATCACTACTTAAGGAGTGGCTGTTATTGGATCTCTAGGAAGAACAGTTTAGAGCTGGTACAGCTATCCAGCCAAATGAAGTTAGTTGAGTATAAGTTTCCTCCTGTAGTAACATGGGATTTATAGAAAGGGATGGTCCAGACCAGACCTCTAGGGAAAACAGTAAACAAAGCTGAGATCTATCTATAAAAGTTCGGAACTACCTGGAAATATTTCGGCAGTTTCTTTGAATTGTTCTTCTTATAATGTCTTTTGGGATCAAGAACACTTCTCATTCGAAGAATGTTGAGGTCTCTCTGTAGTTCTTGTGTCATTTCTGGGGCTGGCATGTCAAACCAATTACGACCTGCAGACTTCTTTTTCTCTTTCTGTCGTAGAAAAATAAATATGACTAAAACTACATTTCATTTTACACATCTGGCACAGAGTAGACAACAAAAAATTCATTGTCTGAACGTCATCACCATTAATTATCAGACCATCACTATCACAACAACCATCATCACCACCGGTATTCTCTTCAGGCCAAAAGAAAATGTGGGTTTCTGGTTTCTTCTTATAAAAACTTAGGTAGGGTAGGTCGGTTTTAACTTTTTTTTTAAACTTTTTTTTTTAATTTTCCTAACAACCGGACACCATTGTTTAGTCAGTGCTTCCACATCCAAAGATAAATTTCCCTAATATTGCCTCAAATTTCAATTTTCCACAAACTTTTTCCTCTAAGTGTTACAAGCATGATCCAATAAAAAAGTTTAGGGTTGGGATTTCGATGTCCAAAAGCTAGGTAGGGTCGGGAAACCGGAAACCCACATATTTTTTTTTTGGCTTCATCATCATAAACACCATCATCATCACCACCACCATACATCATTATTAGCACCATCATCACCACACATCATCATCAGTACCATCATCACCATGATCGTTACCATCACAACCACCATCATCACCACCTGTATTCTCGTCATCATCAACACCACCATCACCACCACCATCAACACCATCATCACCACCATCGTCAACACCATCATCACCATCACACAACATCATTACTACCATCATCATTACCACCACTATCATTGTCCAAATAAATATCTATTAACCTTTTTCTGTTTTTTCAGTGCATGGTGTGTGACATGATATTGTGGAGCTGTTTCTTTCTTCTCAAAGTCTGGCGTTATTACACACTTTTTCATGATCTAAAAAATCAACAGTAAAACCTATATTAAGAGTTTTTTTTGTATGTTACGTAACACGCACTCAAAACTAATGCGTATAATATATCATTCGAGATTATGACTAAATTCAAAATTTTTATTTTTCGATACGTTTCTCAATCGGCAAACAAACTTAGAAAGTATGTTTAGTGCTTTATCTGTAAAATAATGTTAAAATGAAGAGATTTTAGATGATACGCCAAAGAGAAAATGATGTCTGAAGTTCAGTAAGTTTTGCTTATATGACTATAAATATGGCATCAATTTTAAAGCATCATTGATAATTGTATTTTAATTGACAATTTTTAACTATTATTTTATGTTTCTCAACTGGCAGATGCATTTAAAAAGGTAGCTAACTCTATAAACTAGAAAATAAAGGTAAAACAAAGTAATTCTGAGAGGAACGCCAAAAAGATTTTAGGTTTTGAACACTTTTCATCGCAAATACGTGACATTGAAAAAAATTGCCTCTTAACACAAACAAGCTTCCCAGTGCAGCAAATGGTGATCCTGCCATACATGAGAAGTAAATGTACCTGTTTTTCATTGAACAGAGTTAAATTTTTATTGATGGATGGAATTGTTTTTGAATTGCTTTGGCCCATTTTGAAGTACAAGTCATTGACGTCCAGCCCTGGGTTTAGTTCTGATGCCAGAGTGTGACAGCTGAAATTATGGCAAATAATCGAGTTGATGTTAGACACTAAAGTTAGTGTTATAGAACTATTGTATCTAAGTCTAACATCTAAATGAACTAATGAAGAAACCTAAACTACTAAAGCTTACTGGATAGCTCTATCAGTTCTGAACTGTTCTCTTCTCTAGAGGTCCAATAAGGCCATATAAAATAAATTCCTTGATTCTCATCGCTAAATGTTAAAAACTCCCAGGAGGCGGGAGGTTTATATTTTATATTTTATGTCAAAATATATAAAAAAAGTTTAAAATTTAAAAAATTGGAGAGGGAGGTCTTTTTATATTTGCCCTTAAATATATTATAGAAGAACGCTATATAAGTGGATAATTGCACATGCGCTAATGAACATGCATAAGGGTCCACACAAATCGTTGTAATAAGGCTATAAGCCCATTTTTTCCTTCAGTATTCCAAGCATCCCTGAACATGTTGCAATATTAACGATAAAACAATTATATATCGCAAAAATTCCAATATAAAATATAAAAATAATTAAATCTCTGAAGATGCTCGGTCGGGCGGTAAATTTATATTTTATAACAAAATACAAAAATATATCAATGCGGAAACCAAAATATCGTCGGGCGGTGATTAGAATCAAGGAATTTATTTTATATGGCCTAAGGGTATCTCTTAAATTGACACAGTGTTACTACATGAAGAAACTAGAGTCCCAAGAGAAAACTTGCAATGCTTGGCAGAGTCAAACTGGAAGAACTTACATGCAACTGAGGCAAGAGATATATTGGATTGGGGCAATTTTTCTCAAACGTTTTCCAAACAATACTTACTTGGATACATTGTCTTTCACTCTCGATGAAATACTAATAAACTCTCCTGCTCTTTGTTGTCCATCCTCCTTCTCGATCGCCACATCAGACCGAGAACTCGCCCGATTATTTTCTACTTTTTCTTTAATCAATTCATACGTTCTTTTTACCAAATTCTCAAGAGTTTCTTGCCCATTTTCCGTATCGAATCCCTCATTTTCGCTACCGTTCTCGTCGCAACCTTTATTTCTAAGACGGGCACTTCTACGTACCATAATTTTGTAGGAAAATAAGCGAATTTCTTGCGCAGAAAAGTCTAGGAAATTATTCCCACTCATAAACCAGACGCCATTTTGTGATTTTTTACCATAACGTTACCTAAACTTCATGTAATACAGATATAGTGTCCTCATTGGCAAACTGAGGCATGAGTCGAAAATTCAACCGAGGCCTGTTGCGCGAAGTTTTCAAAATCAAAAGATTCTATTAAATGAAAGATTCTAATGGTTCTTTTGTTTAATGTCCTCCAGATGTGCATTTCCATACGTGTCTAAATGAAGTCATATGTATAATGCAGGTTTTTTGCAATCCACGTTTAAAATTCAATAAAATCACAGTGATTAATTTGCTTTGTTTCAACATTAATTTTTAATGAGCTGAAAAACGTTCATCCATGAGGATATGTAGCTTCCGACATGTTTGCGATTTATTTTAAGATTTTAATGAAGGAAAAACGTTTACGTAATTTGTTCAAAATTTGAGCAATATTTCCGACAGAAAACGTTGTACTGTATTCGATTTTTATGTGACAGCAAACATATTGCATTCTCTTGGCATCAGTTTACTGTATTCGAAATTTTCATACAAAGAAATTTTAATCCTACGATGTATTTAATTAGGCATAATTCTACCGAATGCATTAGGGCTAAACATTCAACTGAGCTATTTTTGCTTCATTTTTTATTTAAATAATCTGCACATGCTATTTATCGTCGGATTCTCATTAATGTAACAATTAAAATTTTACGAAAGAACTCAGAAAAATATTTGTATCATTTCTCGCTCGCTATTACAGCAATCACCAGCTTTTATGGATTAGGCTAAAAATTTGGATACTCATTCATTTAAAGCGTAATTTTCTTTGAAACAGCATTGTCCCTTACGCAAACATTCACGAATTTAAATTTTAAATTACTTCGGCATTTACAATAATATTTGGACATGAATTTTTCGCCTACACTCTACAGTTCCAATTCGAGAGAAACTCGGCATCATGAAATAGGGCATCTCCGAGGTTAAATATCACTGTTATTATTCATTACTAAGTATAATAAAGCCATAAATTCATAATGGAAAGTGGTCATTTATATTAATACATCGCAGGAGCAAATTTGGATATTAAGATATGATCATGCAGCGTCGAACGTGGGATGAAAAATAAACATTTGTTTAGTTGTGGCAGTCGAGAAATTTCCACCGAACAGTTGCTGTATATAGTCTGACTCCACAATGTGACTCGATATTTTGGACCAAAAATACTTCTCAACTCTCCATCTCTTAGATACGAAGATATAATTGTCGCCTCGTATTCTCCAAAAGAATAATTAATCTCCTCGGCTGCTGAATTATTCCAAGCCATTTATTATTGATAGTTGTTTTTTCAAAGAGAACGATTAGCGAGTTCAAAAAGAACGGATGTGGTGAGTTCAAGACAACGTTATTGATGTCAAGCAACGCGGATACGCCATGGAGGGCTGTCTATCTCATCGTAGTTTTTGTTGTAACGTTTATTGGGAATATTTTGGTCATAATGGTTGTATATCGTACCAGACGAAATCAATGGACAACAAATCATTTCGTCATCAGTCTGGCAATCGCCAATCTCCTAGCACCAACGATGTATCTATTTTTTACCTTAGATTCAGCGTTTCGTAACCAATGGCTGCTTGGAAACGTTGGGTGCAAAATAAACGCATTTTTTGTGCATTTTAATGCATTAACCTCGGTCGGGATTCTCTGCTGTATGTCTGTTGATCGATATTACCTGACAGCCTATCCGTTAACATTTAAGCTATCGAAAACACAAACAAAAAAAATTATTCTAGCAGTCTGGAGTCTGGCCATATCAATCGCCTGTCCAATGGTGTTTTTCTACGAAGAACGTTCTTCGAACTGTCAACCAAAATTCTCAGAAAAATGGACGGCGTATTTTTGTTGTTTTAGCATACTATTTTTGCTGCCACATTTTACGACTTATGCAACTTATTTTTTAGTATGTCGTTGTATTCGAACGAGGAATAATAATCAAAATCGGTCAAGGTTTGTTCAAAAAGTTCCACGAACGAAAATCAAAGTGACAAAACTACTTGTTGCCCAAGTGATAGTGTATACTGCGCTGTGGTTCCCTTACATCGCATATCAATTGATTATATCCAATTCAACGGATAACAATCGAACATTATTATTGAGTATAACCTATCTCGCGTATGCATCCAGTGCAGCGAGTCCACTGATCTATAGTATTTTCAGCGCAGATTTCCGACGCGGATGCAAGCTGATTTTCATGAAATACGACGCGTCTACAGCGTACAGATTGCCCTCACAGTTGGAGAGAAAACATAAAGTGGATGTTATGAGTTCAGACGTCGGGAATTTCCCCATGATAAGGGCGTCAGGCAAGCCAAACTGTAGCAACGTATTTAGACGTGATTCAGAAACCGAGCCTGCGGCCGGGATGACGTTTAATGAACAACCTCGTATCGCATGGTCTGCTGTTTGAGCGATGGCGGGTTTTCCCACACGGGAGTGCACCATATGATGCTGGCCATCAGAGAAATTGAACTGTCCACTATTTATCACTTATTTACTAAGACCGAGAGAAACAGTGTGTTTTGTGGCTCCGAGACTGCCGTTGTTACCGAGGTCTCAGCAAATAAGTGTTTTATTTTAGCAAGTGTCAAAGTCTCAATAATTCACCTGGTATTCCAAAACTGTAATAAAACCGTCTGGAAGACATGCTGAACTCTTGAAAGAATACTCAGAAACAGTGTGTTTTGTGGCCCCGAGACTGCCGTTGTTACCGAGGTCTCAGTAAATAAGTGTTTTATTTTAGCAAGTGTCAAAGTCTCAATAATTCACCTGGTATTCCAAAACTGTAATAAAACCGTCTGGAAGACATGCTGAAACTCTTGAAAGAATTATACTCAGAAACAGTGTGTTTTGTGGTCCCGAGACTGCTGTTGTCACAGAGGTCTCAGCAAATAAGTATTTTATTATAGCAAGTGTCAAAGTCCCCCATAATCCACCTGGTATTCCAAAACTGTAATAAAACCGACCGGCGGACATGCTGAAACTCTTGAAAGAAGTTTGCTTTGAACTTCCTGGTTGACGCGAACAACTCGCGCCTCATTTCCGGTTTTATTATGACCGCTCAATAATTGTTTCATTGTTGACCAGGTGCCTCCTCATCAAAGCATGCAGTAAACATGACGTTTTTTGGACTGGCACGTGATACGGTTTTGTCCAATCAGCGAACAGGAAAATTGAGGTTTGACACTTGCCATATAATAAATGTACATATTGACTTTGTGGCTGGTGGCAAAGACATGTAATACAAATTCGTTTTTTCGCGTGTATTATAAAAGACAAAAATTGCCTAGATACAAGCTACAATTGAATCTAATTTGCCTACAGCATATATCAAAATTGTCATTCATCATCCTTATATTAAAAATAATGAAAGTTTAAAATGATTCAAACCAACATATTTATTTGAACTGGTTGGTTCTTACTGTGGTTAACCACTATTGTGCAGACGATAGTGATTAACCTGCAGTTACCACAATGAGCAAACAATGTTTTAAAATTCATTTCATTATACCTAGTAGCCTCGTATAAGTTGTATTTGATGACAAATTAATACAATTACGAGTTATCATGCAAGTGTCAACATTTCTGACCTTGAACACCATCTGCTCACTGAATTGTTCTAGGCATTTGATTAAAAGTAAATACTTTTGGCTAAGGTAAAAACAGGCACAGGACACTGTTTATAACCTTGAGCAGAAAAGGCCTCGGTTACCTTGCCATTCACACGAACCATCATTTGCATGACATCTTCTGTTGTGTGGTATTTTCCAAATATTTTCACCAATGCATTAACATACCATGTGCCATGATCAATGCTGCGCATACTCACATATCCTAAAAAATAAAAGCAAGAATGCCATTAGAACAAACTGTATCAGGATTGAATTCTATTTCAGAACCATTCTCAGAGAGATCTCTGAGGATGGTTCTGAAATAGAATTGAAACACTACGCATCCTCTAAGACAAGCATTAAGTCGTCACGAAAATATTTCGTGGACTTAAATTAAATAAGATTTGCTACCAATCCCTGTTGTCTCAATAGCTCAATGGGTAGAGCGGCGGGCTAGATACCCGAAGATGCGAGTTCAAATCCTGCTCGAGACAACAAATTTTTCGTTGGTCTATTGCAGTGTCAGAATAATATGAAACTGGTTTCCTCCCAGGGATGGAAAAAATACACGAGCACTGCTCGCAGGAAATGTTAAACAGCTGCAGGAAATTTGCTTGAATGAAGATTTGCTATCGAAAATTTGAAGGAAACCTTAACACTAATGTCCCACTATGGGCGCAACAACATATGATTGACAGACATTATTCCTTGAATTTAACTGACCATGGTCAGCTAGAACACTATATGTTTACATTTTGAACAAAAATACCCTGTTGGTCTGCAGGAAATTTTTGTCTCCAGGTTGTGCTCCCAGGAAGAAAATTCTTTTTTCCCGAACTGTTTCGGTGCTAATCCTCCTACAGTTTTCAACAAGGGATTGCTCTTACTATACTCTATCAGCTCTTATGGACAACAACTTATCCAGTATAAATAAAGTTAGTTTAGTTTTATTACTGCAGAGTTCTAATTACCTGGTGCAGTTGAATATCCCAGCAGAAAATGAGCTTCGTTTGGATCCGCAGTGTGACGAAATGCTGTATCATTAACATTGTCGTCTTCATCTGTTGTTGCTGTTGGCTCTGCAGGGACGGCATCTGCATCTAATCCTTGCGTTTGCTGTGTTTGTTGTTGCATCGCAGCATTTGTTGAGTGTGTGGTTGTGGGAGCTACTCCTGTTGCTGGTGTTGCTGTGTTAGAGGAGCCTGTACTTCCTGGAAGGGTTCGGCCAGTAAGCTTTTGTCTCCCTCTACATGCCTGAATGAAAAACAGCTTTGGCTTTCCTGCTAATGCTGGACAGTTGGCTTCTTTAAACGCATCTGTGACATGTTTAATATTAACAAAGTTGCTATCAGAGCCATAAATCTTGCCCATCGCGCCGTGGGTCATGATACAGCAAACAAAGCAGCTTGAACCTTGGTTTTTATTTATTTTCATCACCATGTCAGTTACAACTGTGCAAATTCGATGAGCTTTCAAATTTTCGTATTTTTCCACGATGAAGCCAAGATCTTCCCACAAACCGTTTAAATTTTCTAAGTCAACCTCCGAGCCTCTTCGTTCATTTAAAACATACCCGTCTTCCGTTGTGCCTTCAAATATTCGGATGTTAATGATGAGTGCAAAACCATATGGTCGTTGCATGGAGTAGCAAGAGGCTGGGTCTCGGGTGTATTGGAGAGGAGGTATTGGTTGAGCTGTAATTAAAAAGGAGAAAAATTATGGATATTGCAAAAGTAACATTGCTTGAAACTACATTATTGGGTCGTTCCAGAAAAGATCCATACCCCCCCACGGAGGAAATTTTTGCTGTCCGAAGGGGGAGGGAGGAAAAATGTCTTAGGATGTCCAAAGGGGGGGAGAGGAAAAATGTCTTAGGATGTCCGAAGGGGGGGAGAGGAATGTGGATATCTTTGTCTGAAGGTTTGAGACTGTGATAAAGCCATGTGATCGGCGATTATAATGAGCACGCAATTTTTATCGACTATATATATGCAGCTCTTGAACACCGGAACGTTTATGTAACAGCAATAATTATACGTCCACGTAACTTGTAAGCAAAATAAGCGGCCCACTTTTGCATGCATGGCCACCAAAAACTAACTCGCTGTAACAGCGTATCCTGCATGTTTAGAATGAGTCGAAAATTGACACGCTTTATTTATATAGTTTGCAGTTTTCGTTCGCCATATATAAGTTTGCATTATTCAAGTGTTAAAAATAATAGTTATTAAACTGTTGTTCCGAATGATGTTAATAGTCTTAATAGTTATTAAACTGTAGTTATTAATATAAACTGTTGCTCTTGTTAATGTGAACTGAACTCAAAACAATTTGTTTTAGTATATAGTCAATAAAGCTTCTTTGTGAGGTGCGTGTCTAGAAAATAGAAATGGCTTTCATATGCAGTAATATACTAAAAAATGTATTAACATGTAAGTAAACACAGCAACACTTGTCAATCAGTCGCAAGTTACATCGAATTTCAGTCCGAATTTTACTTGAACGAATTTCGAAGTGAATTTCTGCAAATTATCCGACAAAACCTGCCACGTGTTTGTGTTCGCAAGTCACAAGAAGCCGCCAAGTGTTCCGCCATGCCGGAGCTATTTGAAAACAGCGTAGAAAAGTCACAATAAGCCATCGCTAATTCTCTCTACGCTGGAGCGAAATCGTTTGAAAACTTTCACATCACTTTTGCCGTAACAATTTGAGCACAGTTTCTAAACGGAGCGAGGTGAAAACGGTGGAGCACTTGATAGCTTCGTGTGAACACAAACGTGTAAACTCAAATGCTTTTCAGTTAAATTTCTTGTTTTATTTATTTTTTTTTATTTAGCTTTGCCAACTAGGGCAGGGTCACCACAACAGCATATGCCAATTACTGTGGGCCCTCTTTACCTAACCCACCCTGTCAAATTTCCCTGTGGGAGGAAACCGGAGTACCCGGGGAAAACCCACGGCTTTCGGCAGAGTGTTGACTTTTACTCTTTTCACATGGGGACTGGGTTCGAGTCGCACTGAGAAAGTACTTAGTGAGACTCGAACCTGCAGCCTCAGGGGTGAAAGGCAAGTGCGCTAACCACTTGGCCACCAAAGCCCCTTAAGCCTCTTGGGTCTATTTGAAATATTTTGGGTTTACACGAGTGCTAATTTAATTTGTAAACAAACTGTAATGGCGGTAGTATGAACACACGTAAATTCTGCCCGCATTAGTTTGCTCGTGCGTAGTGTGAACGTAGTCTAATTTGACGTTTTCAAATGGCGAGGTAGCCTTTAGAAAAATTTAGAAATAGTGGATGTCCGAAGGGGAGGGGGTAATTTTGGGCTTGGATGTCCGGAGAGGGGGGAGGATGAACCATTCAAGGATGTCCGAAGGGGGGGAGGGGGTTATTTTCGATTTCCTCCGTAGGGGGGGTATGGATCTTTTCTGGAATGACCCATTAAAAGTAACAAGTAGAAAAAATGAAAACATTATTAATGAAACAAATTATATAATTTCCAAAGTTGGTTTGGTGTTGATGATGAAGATAACTAGTGGTTGTGATGATCATGATGGTGGTAGTGATAATAATGTTGATGATGGTATTGATGATGATGATGGAGATGTTGGTAGTGATAATGGTAGTGATGATGGTGTTGATGATGATGATGGTGTTGATGATGATGGTGATGACACTGGTGGAGATGAAGATGGTGTTGATGATGGTGGTAAAGATGAAAATGATGGTTATTTTACCATGAAGAAGGCAAAGTGTTGCATAGTCAACATAATCTAAATTTCAAACCTTCATTTATGGAAAATTCTTCTATCTTTCTTATTAAATCCATTCTATGAACATCATTTAAAAGATCCTTCAAGTCAGTGAAGTTGTCTTCAGATAGCTTCCCAATGCCCTCAAGGTGAGTGAAAAGACTTTGACCATCCTGCAGTTTCTCTCCTATGCCATCTAGAGTAAAGAACTGTTAGTTATACTTTGTGTTCAGGGGCCGGTTAGCCTAACCCTGGGTTAACACAAATCTACAAATTGAATTTTCCAACAGCTCATCAATTAAGTTGAATATGTTTTTCCAGAAATCCTTCCTGGTTCAATAGAGGTTTTCTTTTCTAAAGTTTTGAAACAAATGATCATGCAGAAGTACATAAACAAAAACAGCAGGTCAAATTTAACCCAGGATTAGCGCTAATCGGGCTTTGAACAACCGGCCCCAGCTTTGCAGACACCACAAGTTTATAACAATGGCAGACGCTACCAATGACATACGGTGGTCAATCTGCAGTTCTCAAAGTGAGGGAGTAATGTCAAATCTTTTCATTATATGTAGTAGTCTTGTGTTTGCTGGCAGGTGGGTGGAAAGATGTAGTTTAATATTCTTCCTCTGATTAAGTGTCAAAATTTGACCACCATCTACCCGGTCAGCACTAATGTTTCCATCAACCAAAATGATGTGATGTCATTTTCAGAAGAGGTGTTAAATGGCTATGTAACTAACCCATACCCTACCCCTACTCTACTATAACCCCAACCCTAACCAAAATAATAAAATAAATCCGAAAAGAATTTCTTTCCACCATCTGCTCCACTGTCACACTTGCTAATTCTAAAAGACATTTAAATTCCAAACCTGGAACATCAAGCAAAAACTTCATTTCACTGATACTATCGCTTGTCAACTCGTCTGCAACTGTCTTCAACAACACTCTGTATGGTGAGACAACATCAGAAGCTACCACACTGCCAGACACTGGACCAGCGCTCTCCATATCCCCGCTGTCGACCACATCTACTGAACTCTGTTTGCAAAATTCATCTGGTATCTTACCCACCAAATCAATGCGTTGGATTTGCTCCAAAATACATCGTAAACATGTCAAATCCTCCTGGGAAATGAACAATCTTTCTTCCAGGAGTTTGAACAGCTTTAAAGGCTCTCTGTTCGGTACTTTGTCCAACGCTGCAGCGCCGATTTTGCCACGACAAACAAATTTCAACGAACCGACATCACTGAACGTCAAATTATCGGCTATTTCCTTGAGTATTTTCTTGTATTGGGTACCTGTTGGAGCCATTTTTACATCATAGTTGTATAAAGCATCACATCTGTGAACGTTTGATGTATTTTCACTGCAATCGAAGCAGGAAAATGAAGTTTTTTACTGCATATATACAGCATGTATTCAACACTCCCTAAGAAGGTTTTAGGATGTCGAATTTGGGGAGTTCGTCAGTCTACGGGCGATTACGGAAGAATCCGACTCCTTTTTCTGGGAAATATCGGAAGTCTAAAATTCCTCGTAATTTCGGAAATTTTCCTCGAATACTTACTGGTAGCATTGAATAAAAGTAGAAATAGAAGAACAGAGAATATCATGAAAATTAAAAGCTAGTCTTGATATTGAATAGAAAAATAACACAAAAGAAACACAAAGGAAAACACCATGACATTAGGGACCGTTCTTTATTTACACCCGGGGTTGGTACCGAAGAGATATGGGTTGGGTAATCAAGTTTTTGACTAGCTCATGGGTTGGGTAAAAAAATTTGTGGCTGTCTGTCAGCTATAAAATAAAACCGAAATTACCATGCATTG